TGGCACGAGCCTCTGGCTGGTTAAAAAACACCAGAGTTTCATTCTTGATGGCTCCAGCTTGGTTTATTACCCCTGTGAGAAGTAAGAATGGTTAAGTAGTGAAGATCACAGTATGATATTAATAGATTTAGCGTTGGAACTCAACTTCAAATATGTTTCTTCAAAGCACATATTTTATATCTTTCACCTATGAAGACAAGGAAACCTCTGAAAACTATAGTGCAAATATCCATAATTTTTAAAATGCCCATAAATCATGGCTAAGCAAACTTGTAAAACAAAAACAAAAACAAAAACAAACAAAATTTTACTGTCTATATAACCACAAGATGTGCATTCCAAGATTTTCCAAAATAAGATGATCAGTTTGAAATCAGTACTTTCAATTCTCTTATATTATTCACAAAAAACTTTATTTTTAATAGCATGCTATTATGTGAATGCTCATAGAGATCTAATAAATACATACATTTTTATAGTATTACTATATATACATACTAAAAGTGGTGGTTACAGAAAAATAATAGCAGATACATATTTTTTTATCTCTAAAGCATATAAGAATTATTCTTAAATACACTCTAACAAGTATCCTTAATTATGAAAATGAATTGAAGGGTTAAAGTACATTGAATATCAAGTGACAAATAAAATAGATTTAGTAATAGAAATTATTAATTTAGCAATATAAAAATATTAATTTTCAGTAAGTAAAATAGAAATTTATTATATAGATTTTGCCTTCCTTTTTAAAAAATGAGAAATACTTCATTTGTTTTAGTCTGTTTTCTTTTCCTCGTTGTCAGCAAAAAAGTAAAAGTCCTCTGTGTTTTCCAGAGCACACATCAATGTTCATTTATTACTTGTGGTCAAAACAGTAAAAAGTGTGACTCAGTTGCTTTTTAATGTCTGTGTGTTTGCGTGTAATGAGTAATGGCTATTAAAAAGAAAACACAAACCTGACCTGTGTTTGATATATTTTCAGAAATTTCTGATAAAATCTGCATTTTGCAGGACTCTATCAGTAATTGCCTTACAATGTTGATCATAATTTTGTTTTCACCTAAAAAAAATCTGTGAAACTAATGGAAACTGACTTATAATAATTAATTATACTTTAATTTTTTTTCTAGGGATTATACTCAGAGCCTTATTCATGCTAGGTAAGTGTGCTATTCCTGATATAGAGATATAATCGAGTGTTTTTTAATAATTTTCCTGAATAATCCATATAAAATTTATTTTTATTTTTTATTTTTTTATTTTTACTTTTTGGGTCACACCTGGTGATACACAGGGTTTACTCCTGACTCTGCACTCAGGAATTACTCCTGGAGGTGCTCAGGGGACCATATGGGATGCTGGGAATCAAACCCGGGTCAGCTGTATGCAAGGCAAATGCCCTACCTGCTGTGCTATCACTCCAGCCCTATAAAATTTATTATAAATTTAATATTTCTGTGCAAAATAATTGCAATTTTCTTGTATTTAGAAAAACTATAAAAATTGTTGTGATCTATTTTCTATTAATATATCTGTACATTTAAATTGTTTTACATTCTATAACTGGATTCCAAGTACACAACAGTAGCTTACAAAAAGATAAGTTGTTAATAAAAATCACTGAGCAAGAATATTTTGATAAAATCATAAAATATCATCTAGGACTTGATAATGGGTAAAACATTTTTATCTAACTATTCTAGGTTAAATACAATTCAGCCATTAAAAAGGACATTACACTGAGGTGGTATATTTTTTAAAGAGATCATTAAAAATATATGTGTAATTTTTATGTAATTTTTGAATTATTCTAGACTTTACTTTTTGGTAAAAAAATATACTTAATTTCCATAGATCCACTGTGATAAAATCATTGCTATTAGTCTAGCAAGTAATTTATACCTCCTTGTTCTGTTTACTTCTTCATGTATTTATGCCATTTTCCCTAGTTTTATTTATTTCTTATAACTACTTGAGTGAGGTGTTCTACTTCCGAGGAATCATAGAATTATAAAATATGCATATATTTTTAGTCCTTCACCACCTTACCATGTCAGACTCTGGTTCCCAACAGTGCCATTTCAAATACATTGCCTTTCAATTAAATCATTTTTCACATAAATCTGATAGCCTTTTTTACAAAGAACCTTTTAGATAGTAGTTTTACCATTTTTCCAGTGTCCTAGATTTTTGATGGAAGAAGGGTTTACAAAGTAGTGTTTAGAGGGTCCTGAGTCTACTCCCAGAGATACTAACCAAATACTGTACTGTGTGGGCCGGCACCAGGAACTTTACTTGCGGAGACCCTATGGTACTGAGACTTGAATCCAGAACCTGCAGGCTAAATATGCGATCCATCCTCTCAAGTTATCTCCCTGATTCCAATTTCCCAGACTTTTTCACTGTTTTTGTTAAATTGTGAGTTAGTCTCAAGTCCCCTTAATAAATTCTAGTCTAGAAATTCACACTTATTGCTCATTAATTATTACTTCTGTTTTTTAACCAAGATAATCAGCCTTTTGTTTTTATTCTTAACAGCTTCACATATCAAATGGTCTTAAATACAATTCACCAAATATCTCTTTCAATTGCCCTTCCCTTGCTTGAGAACAAAGAAATGCTCCTTTTGTGCATAGCCAATTTCAAAGTCTTTGAATTATAATTTTTAACTTTTATTTTAAATTTCAAAACTTAAATCTTACAATTTAAAACTACTTACATACAACCACACACACTTTTCATGCTCCTATTATTCACCAAAATGAACAGTAAACTCACTCTTTTGACAAGGGCGGGAGTGAGGGACACATCTGACAGTGTTCAGTGGTTACTCCTGGCTCTGCACTTGGGAATCACAACTGGAGTTGCTCCTGGGACCATATGAGATGCTAGGATCAAGCTCAGGTCACCTTACACACCATACTATCTCTCCAGCCCCTAAACTCACTTTTTTAAAAATAAATTACTATATTTTACATTTTGTTCATAAATTTGACCCTAACTTTAAGGTCTATTTCAATTATTTCCATTCAGCAACCTGCTATTTTGTTGTTTTCAATATATGTACCTTTATAATTAGTCCTTCAGAATTAAATTTTTTAAACAGGCCTATAATGATTCCATGAGTTTTGCTTCCTAAAAAAGGTTGAGATTTTCCTGGTGGTGTTTAGATAGAGTTCACTTTCAACTCTTTGTTTTGTATCCTGCAGAGTACTCAGTTTACAATGAAGCTGAATATATATTTGGTAATTATAAATAGTGCTTCTTAAATACATATAAACCAGGCAGTGAGAATTAAAAAAAATTAGATTCAACTATCATTTCCTCAGAGTGAGAAGCATGTAAATAATTATTCTACTCATTAAGCTACCTAGGGATACTGAGAAAGACTATTAAAACTCATTTGTATGTACTTTCACCTTTTCAATTACATTTTTAAATTTTCTGTACATGAAACAGCTCTAAAATGTCTTTTGCAAAAGAATCCAGGAGTTTCTAAATAGTGACACTGTTTGCTAGTTATTACTTATCTAAATTGATATTGTAGCCATTAAAAATATTCTACAATGTGTTCACAAAATTGAACATCATTAGTCTGATTCCTATGGTGTCAATATTATACACTGTAAAAAATTTACTTATGTTCTTCCCTGTATAGAAATACAAGATTAAAACCATCAAGCAATGTTATGGGACCATATAAATTATAATCATATAAGAGCAATAATTTTCTTCTTTCTTTTCTTTTTTAAATTTAATAGGGGCCTCCAGAGTAGTGCTCAGCAGGTCCAGAGACTCCTACTGGAGAATATTGACCAACTTGGCTCAATGCAAGGGTCTGATGATTCAGTGTTGCTCAGTCCCTGTAGGGCCAGGATTATATCTAGGTCACCCAGATGGTTCTTGGAGGTCTCCAGGTGCACAGACAGAGACGCTTCAGGGTCTCCAGAACTATACCTGGTGATGCTCAGGGGACGATGTGGTCACATTCTAGGCATGCACTTTTACTCTTACTGCCTTTGGCTCGTCATTGTTTTTAAATAACAATATAACAGCATTTTTGGTCTTTCTTTGTTTTATTTTATTTATTTATTTTTCTGGCTTTGTAAGATTTACTCCTTGTTTTGAGCTCAAGGATTACTCCTAGCAGTGTTCCAGGGAGTGCCTACTGATCTGGGGATTGAACCTGGGTCAGTCACATAAAAGCAAATGCTTATCCACTGCACTGTGTCTCTGTCCAACATAACGATTTAAACAGCTTTTATTAGTAAAGTAAAAGTAAAGGCCCTCCCGTTGATCGTCGATTTGCTCGAGCGGGCCCAGTAACGTCTCCATTGGAGACTTTGTTGTTACTGTGTCTGGCATATCGAATACTAGACCTACAATTAAATTACAATTTGTAATTCTCACAAAAAATTTCTATATAGTTCTTCAAATTACAACTTAATTTTGAAGACTATGTATATATATATTTGTTCATCCCTCACGGGACAAAATGCAATCAGCGTTTTTTGCAATTTCCTAAAATGTGTAACTTTTAATAAACAAATCACACTATCACTGTCAATGACGATACATAGGTGAAGTAACGTGAATATTCGCATTATAAATCAGCAAAATAATATATTGTAGAAAGCTAAGCTATCTCATTCTCACAATAATCAGTAAAATACTAGTTGATTTCTGTAAAATCATAATGTAGTTTCCAATAGAACAGGTTAAATTACATAACTGTTTTGGAAGAACAAGCTTTTAAGCAACTTCTAAACTATCAAGAGGATGCAGTACTAATAGTTTAGAATGAAATTTTCTGTGGGGAAATTATAATTTGTATGAATTATAGGCCAAAAGAGATTATCTCATAATTTCCCAACATTATAATAGAGAGAGCTATCAATATACCCTTTAAATAATGCACATAAGTACAATAAAATACTGAATCACATTGTATTATCATTTTTGAAAATGTAATAAAAACTTTTTAAAAGCGCGCTTACCTCTTTACTTTCTTCTAGTTCTGACTCACTGCTAAACTCTTCAGTATTTAAGTTTTCAAAGTCAGACTCTCCAACAGCAATTGGTACTGTTACAGTGAGGTTGGGGTTGTTTATGAAGGACATATAATCATTCTCATCGATTACATATTTTTCAACACTGCTTCCAGTACCTACTCCACTGGTGGTTCCATTCCCATCTTTAAGAACATTAAGCTCTTTGTTTATTTCAATTCCAGTATTATTGGATATACAGCTGTCTATTTTGTTTTCTTCATGGATTTCTATAACTTTTGACTTCCTAAGAAATGTCACGCGGAAACACTCCTGAATCTTATTTTTTACATAATCAATTCCTTTTTGCATCCTTCCTACTGCAATCTGGAGATTGTTCATTTCATTATCATCATCAGTAGCAGCAAGATTGTCCGAACTAAATGAACTCAATAATAAGGCTAGGAAGAGGTTCAGAACCTAAGAGGAAAAAAAAGATCATTAATTCTAAAGTATTAATTTTTAAGACATCCTAAATGGGGAACTGAAAAATGTTTGTTAAAATTAATTCAACAAATGCTGTTTTGAATACTTAATAGACTTAGGAAAACATATCTTAGCCATATACTTTAAAGAACTTCATATCTTCTACTGTCTGTTACAGTAAAATGGTAACATAATCACTTTCTTTCTTACCTGTAAGAAACCATTGTTTCTAAGATTTAAAATATGTCTACTCAAGGTTACAAGTGGAAGGGATAAAATCTATGTGGGACACTTACAATTTAGGTCAATGAGATAATGAGATTAAAAGATCAGTAAAATATTTTATTTTAATAATTTTATTTTATTTTGTCCTGTTTATATGTATTGCTAATGTATTAATCTATGGAGGATACTTAAAGCATATGTAAAAATGATAATTTTAAGCACAAATTTCTTTGTCAATACCACAAACTTGCAGCATAAAATTTTAAATGTAAAAATTACTGCAGAAATTTTGCATGCAAATTATAAAGTTGAACACATTTCCTATCAATACATTTAGAGATTTGTTCAAATACTTAGATTAAAACTACTTAAAGAGCATTGGTGGTAGAGAATGGGCACTGGTGGAGGGATGAGTGTTTGATCAGTGTATAACTGAAACCCAAGCACAAAAATTTGTAAGTCTACAACTGTACCTCATGGTGTTTCACTAATAAAAATTTTTTAAAAAATCAATGAAAAAGAAAGTATTTCAGGGTTTAGGCTAGACCCTTCACTGTCACTGTCACTGTCCTCCCATTGTTCGTGATTTGCTGGAGCAGGCCCAGTAACGTCTACATTGTGACACTTGTTACTGTGTTTGGCAAATCAAATACATCACGAGTAGCTTGCCAGGCTTTGCCATGCTTGCCGGGCTCTCCGAAAGGGGTGGAGGAATCGAACCTGGGTCGGCCATGTCGGCTGTATGCAAGGCAAACGCCCTACCCTCTATGCTATTGTTCCAGCCCTCTAATTTGTTTTTCTTGTGCTATGTTTTGTGGAACAAATTTGAGAAAATATTAAATATCCAATTAATATAAGAATACATAAAGAAAAGTTAAACATCAACTGACGAAATATGATGAACCCAGGAATAGTTCATTATAGCTACGAAAAAGAATATCATAATGCTTTTCACTTTAAATGTATTTATTACAAATAGCTTTGTTGAAAAATTATCAGAATTTATATCCCTTAAGTAGTCACACAAATTTCATTTTACACTATGCTTTGACTGCTCTGAGAAAATATTTGTATTTCAAATTTACATATGTTTGCTAATGCTGCTTTTCACATTTATTCTTTGTCATATGTGCTGGGAATGAACAAATGAGAGCCAAATATTCTACTAAAATGCCAAAAAAATGTAGTTATGGTGGTGGAGAATGGGCACTGGTGGAGGGATGGGTAACTGATCATTGTATGACTGAAACGCAAACACGAATATTTGTAAGTATATAACAGTACCTCATGGTGATTGACTAATAAATAAATAAATGTAGTTATTAGGTTTCAAAATATACTACAAGGTAGGAAGACTAATGCATATCAAGAACCCATTTTACTCCTTATTTCTGTGCATTTTCTCAAAATCCACAGCTTTAAATTTACTTCTGAAAGACCTTGCAAGTTTACAGATGTCCCATACACAATCTTTTATGAAACCTCATTTGAAAAGTCTTCCTCGAAGAGTGACTATGTATAACATAAACACTTTGTCCACAATGAGTGAGAAATTTAAGCATTAAAACATATAAACGTAGGCAGTGTGCTTTTTTGTTAGTGCATTTGAATGAGAGCTAAAAGTAAATGTTTAAAATGTGGTTAGTGAACCAGAGAGGTAATTTAAGGAGTTGAGAGTCTGCTTTGTATTCAGCAAGCCTAGATTCTAACAGTTGGCACCTCAGAGTCCCCTGAGCACCACCAGGAGGAACCCTGGCTGAGCATAGAAGGGTATGGCTCAGGAAACAATACAAACAATGAGACCAACAAAACTACTTAATAAGTATCATTTGAATAACTTAAGTGGAAATAATTTTTCTCTTAAGTAAAGTAAGTAAAGTATTTTCTCTTAATTCAAAGAAATTAAATTCATAGAAAATTCAAAGAAGATTTTAACCCCTTCTCAAGTTATTTGGATAATTATAATGCTAACCTACAAACTAATTCTCTATTTTGTTGAGATTTATCTTTAAAATTTGGTAATATGTATGTCTCTATATACACAAACAGTAAGAACTATGAATGCATAAAGAATAATTTCAATGTAGAATTGATGTCTTTTATTGCAGATCATTATCTTACCAAAATATTGTTAGAATAAAATTAGTGTGAATTATAAAAACATTATATTTTTTCGTTTTTATCATTAAAAATATAAATCTTTTTAAAGATAAAAACATTCTATCATTTTATCTATAAAATGATAAAAAACATTTTATTTCTCGGGAAATAAAAGCAAAAGTTTTTGCAATCATCTTTCACAGACATCTTCAATTATTTCTCATTGAAATCACAAAGTATTGGTTTGCTATTTCAGTTTCATAGTTATGGAACCTGATTCTCAGAAGTAAGTTGAGTTGCCCAAGGGTAGAGACTTAATAGTAGAAATTGAGTCTACGTCATTTTTACAGAACCAGAATTATGTCTACCTATCAGGTCACTTCCTATCTACTGTTTGGTGATATTCTTAATTAGAAACATTTATGTATAATACATACATACCACAAGATTTCCAATGACCATGACCAACATGAAAACAATAAGGCACATGGTTTGGCCAGCGACCTCCATGCAGTCCCACATGGTCTCTATCCACTCTCCACAGAGTACACGAAACACAATCAGGAAGGAGTGGAAGAAGTCATTCATGTGCCAGCGTGGTAGTTGACAGTCGCTGGAGATCTTGCAGACACATTCTTTGTAGCTCTTACCGAACAACTGCATGCCAACCACGGCAAAAATGAAGACAATGATGGCCAAGACCAAAGTGAGGTTACCCAGAGCTCCCACGGAATTGCCAATAATCTTAATTAGCATATTCAAGGTAGGCCATGATTTTGCCAACTTGAACACTCGAAGCTGTAATCAAGCAAAAAGCTACTCTTAGCAAAAATCACAATATAATTTAGGAAGTAAGATATCATTTTGCTAACATGTCATTTTATAGACCAATTTCTTATGAGTACAAAAATCTCCAACCATATTAGGCAAATTCACAAGTAGAAAAGTCTTTAATGATATAAAAACCATAAATCAGAATAATTCCATTTAAATGCAAAAATTTAAAAAAATGATACATTTCAGAATTAAACTTTTTTTATTAATCAACAGATACACTTATTAAAACAAATATTTTGACTACAGGTGTCTGTGAATTTACCAAATAAATGGCAACCTCAGACTGTTTTAGAAAGTAATACAAAATATTAGAAGTTTGATAAGTATTTTTTGTTTGTTTCTGATTTGGGCCTACACCCAGCAATGCTCAGCGGTTGGTTACTCCTGGGTTTACATTTAAAAGTTACTCTAGCAGTACTCAGGGGACCATATGCAATGACAGGGATCAAACCTCAGTTGGCTGTGTGTGTGAAAGGTAAATGCTATACCTATTGTATTATTTCCCCCACCCCTTGAGAAGTACCTGTGACATATTCGATATGCCAAAAACAGTAACAACAAGTCTCACAATTTGTTGTGAGACGTTACTGGTGCCCAAACAAACACTGTCCTCCCATTGTTCATAGATTTGCTCGAGCGAACCCAGTAACAACGTCTCCATTTTTTTTTTTTTTGAGACTTGTTGTTACTGTGTTTGGCATATTGAATATGTCACGGGTAGCTTGACAGGCTCTGCCGTGCGGGCGAGATACTCTCTGTAGCTTGCTTGGCTCTCCAAGAGGGGCAGAGGAATCGAACCTGGCTCGGCCAGGCTGGCTGCGTGCATACTGGTGCCCACTCAAACAAATTGATGAACAACGGGAGGACAGTGCTACAGTTATAAAATAAAATAAACTGGATAAAAATTATATAAAGTTTTCCTTTAAATTTGAAGAAAATACATATTTTACCCAGTAAAACTTCTGCATATTTTTAAATCCTTTCTTTGTTATAATGTTTTTGGTCATTTTGGGGGAGCCACACCTGCTGGTATGCAAAGCTTACTCCTATTCTGCACTCAGGAATCACTCCTGGTAGGTCTTTGGGGACCACTTCTTTCTAATTTTTAAAAGTTTGCTCCACTGTCAATTAAGGGCACTGCAGCACTGTCCTCCCTTGTTTATCGATTTGCTCCAGCAGGCACCAGTAACGTCTCCATTGTGAGACTTGTTACTGTTTTTGGCATATTGAATACGTCATGGGTAGCTTGTCAGGCTTTCCTGTGCGGGCGGAATACTCTCAGTAGCTTGCTGGGCTTTCCGAGAAGGGCGGAGGATTTGAACCTGGGTCGGTCTGGGTTGGCTGCGTGCAAGAAAAACGCCCTACCCGCCGTGCTATTGCTCCTCACATGATACCTTCAAAGTGTTCTTATTACATATGCAAGATGATAAAAAAGACAAATAATTTGGAACCAAAACGTGTATTTGCATTTTTTTACAGACTTCAAAGAAAACATGAATTAATTGAAAGCATAGAGAACAAAAGGTGGGCTTTTAAGTGACTGGAGCAATAGCACACCGAGTAGGGCATTTGCCTTGCATGTGGCCAACCCGGGTTGGATTCCTCTGACCCTCTTGGGGAGCCTGGCAAGCTACTGAGAGTATCCAGCCTGCATGGCAGAGCCTGGCAAGCTCCCCGTGTTGTATTTGATATGCCAAAAACAGTAATAAGTCTCACAATGGAGACATTACTTGTGCCTCCTGCTTGAGCAAAACATTGAACAATGGGAGGACAGTTCTACAGTGCTATATATATATATATATATATATATGATTATGAAGCGCTTTGTCATGTCTTATCTTTCTTAGAAAACAGGTTACACTTAAAGTTTGGGATAAAACACATTTTTAGTATGAATGATAGCACAGTGGTAGGGCGTTTGTCTTGCACGCAGCCAACATGGCCGACCCGAGTTCGATTCCTCCGCCCCTCTCGGAGAGCCTGGCAAGCTACCGAGAGTATCTCGCCCGCACGGCAGAGCCTGGCAAGCTACTCATGATGTATTCGATATGCCAAACACAGCAACAACAAAGTCTTAAATGGAGACGTTACTGGGCCCGTTCGAGCAAATCGATGATCAATGGGAGGAACTTTACTTACTTTATTCTTATATATTTTAATATTAGAAGTATATAACTATATAAGTATAGTAGTTCAATTTAAAAATTAAGTCATGTCAATAAAATTTAGAAAATAAGCATAGTCTGTGTAGATACCAGTCTGAATGATCTTAGTACAGACAATCCTTCCACATTTGCCAGGCCAAGCTCCATCAAACTGAGGCTGACAATAATTCCATCAAAAATATTCCAACCCTCTTGGAAATAATAATATGGATCCATCGCAATGATCTTGAGAACCATTTCTGCTGTGAAGATCCCAGTGAAGACCTACATTAAAACATTGGAAAGGAAAGCAAATGAATTCACAAATTTGGAAAAGTTGTAGACAGCACAAATTTGGGAAAAAGAATATTAAACTCTCATGACAATAAATATCTAATGTTTAAAATAAATATGACAAACCAAAAAATTTAGTATATTTTAGGGAGTGGATTTGTTGTTTTATTTAATAGAGAAATATCAGTAAAATATTAATTTAATAGCATTCATTATCAACATTTATGATTATTACTTTGTTCGATAGGAGTCACACCAGCCTGTGCTTTGGAGCTATGACATGACAGTACAAACTCAAGGTCTTGCACATGTTGGTCACGTGTTCTATAACTTGGGCTATTTCACTGGCTCTCATCATTTACATTTGAAATGTGTACACAAGTAATAGATACTAAATTAGTTCTTCCTTTGATATCCTATGCTTTTTCTACAATCACAATCAGTTTTTATGACATGATTACATTAGGAAAAACTGTATTATTGGCACGTCTATCTTTATTTTGTATTTTTAAGGTACAACATTTCTCATTTTAAAGTTACATAAACATTCTTGAAGGAGTGAGGTTTTCATAAATATAATAATATCTCCGGGTGCATGCTTCAGAGTAAAGTTAATGGATTAAGAGAGCAGGCAACTGAAGATTTAATTGAAAGCAGCAGGAGAACATTCTCAGTATGCATACACCCATAATTAAGATTATAAATTATCAGAATGATTTAATAATCATTTATTTCACAGTCAAAGGAAAAATAAAACAAAGAATTTAGCCTTTCTTTATTAGCTGAAAACCATAGGATAAAACATGACAGAAAATTTTATGATATTATTATTACAAAAATGCTTTAAAGCAGTTCTCTTAACAATTGTGAAAGTTGCCTTCTGTGACTGTAATATCAATGTTTCCATTTACCAAAGCAAATATTTTACATTGAATTAAAGCTATCAAAATAAAATGATTATAGTTTCCTAAAACATCAAATTAATTAAAATAAATCTTTATCTACTTTTACAAGCATGAAAATGTAGGTAGCATCTCATCTTCACAACTAGAGAAAGACCTGAGGTAACTATCCATCATAGAAAAAATAAGTGTAGTTCATCAACTATTCAAATAGAACTGAAACTGATTTTAATCAAGTCTAAAAACACTAAACAAACACTATCCTCCCATTGTTCATCGATTTGCTTGTGCGGGTCCAGTAACATCTCCATTGTGAGACTTGTTGTTACTGTGTTTAGCATATTGAATATGAATTCATCACGGGTAGCTTACCAGGCATTGCTGTGCGGGAGAGATGCTCTTGGTAGCTTGCTGGGCTCTCCAAGAGGGGCGAAGGAATCGAACCCGACTTGGCAGGGCTAGCTGTGCTCAAGGCAAATGCCCTACCGCTGTGCTATGGCTCCAGCCCAATCAAGTCTAGTATATGAATATATAATTATATAATATGCACATTGAAAAATGGCTTTATTTTACAGAATATCTCATTATAAGAGTTTTCCTTATTAATGTAAAATTAATTCTGATTTGTTCAACTTTATCTCATACAAAAGTTTCAAGTTATAAACACATTAGTTTATCTGAATTAGAAAATACATAAATAATCAAACATATATCTTCCTACAGTAAATCATAAGTTTATGTTCTTAGTTCTGAAATAGCTCTATCTCTTGCAATATAAATATTGATACATATTTTCTATCTAAAATGTAATCCCAACATGAAATTTGTGTAAGAATAGAATTTAAACTATAGCTTAAAGTCATAGCTAAAATTAAATAAGTAGCTAAAGAATTAAAACTTAAATAGCTAAAGAATTAGTCTTTAATTTCAGACAGATATTTATTTAAATGTTTTTCATTTATGCCCTAAAAATCACCAAGATTTTATTTTCTGTACATGATTAGTCTAGACTTAGCATGATTAGAGATATAAAAGATTTTTAGACAGTCTCATTCTAGCTAAGGTCAACTGAGAATATTAATTTTCATTTATGTGATTAGTTTTAAAACTGTCAATTATTTCTAAAAACTAAAAGAACCACTAGCACTTTTGGAATATACAATAGTATATAATGCCATTTATGGTTAATAAGTGATTTATAAGCTTAAATTAAAACTTTAGAATTTAATTTGATATTGACATTAAAAATTTTTTTATTTGCATACTTAGCTCATTTCAAATGTATATTTTTTATTCTGGAGTGAGGATTCAGTAATAACTAACAGAGCTTGAGGTCTACCTCTAGCTCAGTACTTGCAGGGGGCAATGTAACTTTTCAGAGCTCAGGGGCAGCTATATGGTTCTGGGGATTAAACCCAGTGTTCCTGAATGGAAAGTATGAGCTCCAGCTCTGTAAGTGATCCCCTTATCCCTTGAATATTAACTTCTATAAAATATTTTACGTCTTTGGAAAATATGTATTATATTTTTGTGAGCAACTATATATTTTTCATAAAACTTGCTGAGCATATACATTTAGGTAGTGTAAATTGTGCTCGATCTTAAAAATATAGTAATTAAGATAAACTTTGAATTACATAAATCTATTTTTCTAAACTTTAAAGAAACTGCACTTTTTTTAGTGTGTTTTTGCCATACCTGGCTGTCCTCAAGGCTTACTTCTGGGTTTGCACTTTGGGATCAGTCCCACTGGGGTTCGGGCTTCCATATGCATTGCTAGGGATGGAACCCAGGTCAGCCTCATGTTCGGCAAGTTCCTAACTTTTTAATTTTTATGATTTTCCCCCTTATTTGTTGGTTATTTTTGGAGATGATTCACCAGTATGTGTTTAAAATTCTTGAATTTCTATCAATTTCATGTTTCTCAGCAAGTTATATTCAGAAAGTGATGTATACTCAATTGTTGTTAGACCAGAGTCTCATTAGAAGGCAGTAGTTTGTAGACAAGTAGTTTGTAACACAATTTTTATATTATGCTGGGAACAGTGATGCATGACTGAATATATCTTATTAATATTAAGAATACTCATTGACTTATTTGTGTTGCCCGTGGCTGCCCCAGCCGAGCCGGGTTCAATTACTCCGCCCCTCTTGGAGATCCCAGCAAGCTACAGAAAGTATCCCACCCACACAGTAAAGCCTGGCAAGCTACCCATGACTTATTCAGTATGCCAAACTGTAACAAGTAACAACATCTCTCACAATGGAGACTTTACTGGGCCTGCTCCAGCAAATCGATGAACAACTGGAGGACAGTGCTACAGTGCTACAGACTTATTTGCTTAAAGAATTCTCTTGCTGATGCCATATACCTCCTAGATGATTCTAGGATGTGACTTCCAAGAGTTTTGGTGTTCAATAAATAAAAAACATTTTCTTCAGAGAATAATCATTTTTCTTTCTTGAGACATAAAGATTACTGATAAATTATCATATACCTTACTATTTAATGATACTGGCATTCTAATTGTGTATCTATAGGCTTTTAAGACCCTAAAAAAGTTTCAGTATTTTACATCCTCTCCTATTCTTGCAGAATAAGAAAATATTGTTAATCACTAATTGCAGTGAGAGTCATAATAATGATCTAGTATATAAAGAGCAAATGTCTATCTACCTTGAAGAAAATTACACACTGGTTGAAAATGTTTTTATGATTATATCTAATATATTATGATTGATGGAAGAATCTTGTTTATATTTTATAGAACTTATAAAGTGGGTAGACATAGTTTAAATAGAGATTTTAAATATCTTTATACTGATAGATTAAGTCAATCAGCAGACACAGGACGGAAAAGGGAGACATTGATCTAAATTAATATTAAAACTTGATGAGAATAGATGCCTTCAGACCCCATGCCAAGTTGAGTCTCATCTGGACGCCTCAGAGGAGATGGGTGAGCCCACACCCACCCCAGCAGAGCTGTGGAAGCCAAAAACCTCCAGAACCCAATCACCAGCATGCTCATGGCTTATCACATGCTTGGGACGAGTCTCACACATGAGAATGAATCTGTTGAAAAACCCAGGTATGCAGGATTTATAACCAAAATCTCCAGGCTCTCATGGAGTCAAAAATGGGCAACCTCCATGCATCTCCCTGTTGTCCCAGGAATCTAGCAGTCACACCCAGGAACTGCCTCTGGGTGCAATATAAGCTCATCAATGGTCATGATCCAGAAACTCAAAATTAATCTTGGAAGAGAGGTGCAAGCTGCAGAGATGCCTCCTGACCCCAAAGTCACCATCCAGTTAAAAATTTAACTCCACCTCTATCACCATATTTGAAATTTTAGAATTCCTGGAACTACATCTTATTCTCTAAGCAAGTGATGTAGCATGAATAGCAGACCACATTTGGTGGGGTGTAAAGTAGAAGAAAACTGATCTCAATTAAAATATATATATATTTATTTATATTTTATATATAATATATATATTAGCATACAAGGTTCAACCTGTAAGAATATGCTAGTAATCTCTTATACAAGGGCTTACTGGCTCCAGGGTAAGATACAACAATCTTCACAGACTTTCCCCTAAGAAAATTTTTTGGATCATTTTTAGCAGATTATTCATAATAAGCAGTACAAAAAAATTATTTAAGACCTGCTTTTGAGGCAAGCTTGGTGGTGGTAGGAAAATTTGAAATAATGGTTGTGGGAAGGTGAAATAGTTATGAAATTGTTGTTATAATATTGAATATAATAAATTATTATGAACATTTTAATAAAAATAAAAGTAAATTAAAAAATAACTTGATGAGAATGTTGGAGTAATAGCACAGAGGGTAGGGCATTTGCCTTGCATTCCTCCGTCCCTCTCGGAGAGCCCAACAAGCTACCAAGAGTATCCCGCCCACATGGGAGAGCCTAGCAAGCTCCCCGTGGAGTATTCGATATGCAGAAAACAGTAACAAGTCTCACAATGTAGACATTACTGGTGTCCGCTTGAGCAAATCGATGAACAGTGGGAGGGCAGTGCTACAGACAATGCAGTGCTACAATACTAACCTCAACGTTCAAGTGGTTCTACAGCAATTTACAAGTCATGCATTTTCATTCTGCTTTCTTACCTTATTATCTTTGATATTAGTCATATCATATAATTTTTATAATTGAGAGAAACATGAATAATCAGTCTAGTACATTATTTCATGATAAAACAGACCCAAATATCTCAACAATCTCTTTTTCAGGGCTTTTCAGATATTTTGCATGGATATTTTAAGTAGAGCCCAGCTTTGATACTACAGTCTAGTGTTCTTCCATGTGATCATTTTATAATCTAATCTCTCTTGCTCTTTGTTTTCATACTCAATTGCTTCTACACTGAAATTCTATAAAGCTCAATTTCCTTCTTTACTTTGGCAAATTTTCAAAATTTCTTATTTTAACTTGTTCCACTTCCTTAACTGTCCAATATACTAGGAAAAATACAAAACCATTTTCCATCAATATTTCAAAGAAAGGTTAATAACAGATAAAGAAGGAAATTGTTTGTCAGGTATATATTTGGTGCCAGGCACAATACTGTGCTTTCACATTACCTCATCTGACCTTCACAACAACTCTGGGAGATGGGTGTTATTTTCATTTCAATACCAAAAAACAAAGACTCAATTTTATTTTATCAGATTTCTCCAGATGCTACATTATTAGTAAGCATTAGCTATGTGGTCAAACCCAGATCCTCTGACTTCAGTGTCCCTGTATTTTCATAAACACATGCTACAAATGTAGCTGTTTTGGATAGAAAAAAACTATTTGATTATTTATTGAGTGACAATCATTTAAATACTGTGGGAAATGCAATGGAATAATAGAATATAAACTCTACCATTGGAGCAATTTATGGTCTTGAAAACAAAGAACTTTTATATAAAATTAAACTATGTAATATTCGATCACGTTTTAATTACAAATTTATTGGAAATTTGCTAAAGAGTACTAAATAAGACTGTCATATTAGAGGGCATGAGGATAGATAACTAAGATGAATAACTATGTAGGAACACTCTAACCATGAGATCTTTCCCATAAGTAACAGAAGCATTTGTATAACATTCATGTGGTAAAGCAAAAAAACTATTCTGAATGTTCTGACTTTTTCTCATTAGGAAGAAATAATAACAAGATGACATGAAAGGGTGAATCAACTGGGAGTCTTGAAAACTAGATTGAAGTATTGATTCATAAGTGTAATCAGAATTTATTCTGCAAGGTAAAGGGACATTTAGTGCAAATTTCATAACATTATTTAATATTGGTTGCACTACAAATAACAATATCTTGAAACATGAAATATGGATATTCATGTCAAAATATATGTAAGAAATTAAAATAGGAAATTTCTAATTTTGAAATTGTAAAGGCTACTAGAAGTCTAAGAATATTCAATGACACTAATGGTATTTTCACTAAAGTATGGGAAATATCATCTTTCAGCTGTTGTATATTGTATTTAAAGTATTCCTGAGAAGTGATTATAGCATTGAATACATAGAACAGGAAGTAGCTAATAACACAAAAATAGGCCATTCTAGAGTTGTTGACTATATAAAAGTATAGATGAAAAAGTATAGCCCAGTAGGCCAAAGACCAAAAGGTCAAAATACAGAAAGAGATGGAGTAACTAAAAAAAGAATAAACAGTCAGAAAAATAGTCTGTTTTGGGTGACAATGATGAAGAAAATCTTAAAAATGTGTTGGATCTTTTACTGAATCAAATAATGCAAATGGAGTTGTGGTCTTTTGTTGGTAAGGCATTTATGCATTTATCTACCTATATTCTTTCCTTCCTTAAGTTGAAAAAAATTATTTTCCTACTTATGTGATTCCTCAGGATGGTAATGTTTTCACATTTACACCTTCTGTCAAGCTTGATTAAACTGTAATTGAGTGTCTGATCCAAGCTATGCCAGAGCATTATTGCAAGTCTTTGAACTGAAGTTTAAAAGAAAGGTTTTTTGTTTGTTTCTTCTTCCTAGTGAAGAGGTTGAAGAATATAAAATCAGTGAGCTATGACTGAGAATGTTTCCAGATATAGGAACAAATGATTCCTAAACATTTGAACTACATTTAAATCCTCAAAGCATTTTCTAAAGCTCAACTGCAAAATTACCTTGTGGAATTATTTTTCCTTTCTTAAATTGATTAACACTAGTTTCTGTATTTTGTCAAAAGGGAAGGTCTTGATAAATAGCCTACGTTCTTTTCTTAATTTTTCATCCATTTTTAATTTATTCATATAGATTTAGGAGGGAATGTGCAGGTCAATAATATTCATGAATGACGGTCAAGTAATTTAAGCAAAAATGATTAAATTACCAGTTCAATTTTACCAACTTTAATTCTCTTGTATAAATAGTACTGAAGAAATTTTATTCAATACTTAAATGAATACTATCTTTTCTTTTGTAAAGAATTTGATGTTTGTGTATTTCTTCAATGGATAAGATTCTTTAAGTGTTGCATGAGTGTGTACAGAAATTGCATGGTTATGGAATCAGAATTGGACCTTTTGGTTTCTCTGGATTTAAATTTCTAGCAAAAATTATAGTAAAGTTTTTAAAGAGTTTACAGAAAGACTTCATGACTTATCAGTATGAATATCGGTCTAAGTAATTTGTATTCCTCATTGAATTTTAGATATTATTACTGGTATTCCAGTCTTTAGTTTTCTCTTCCTAGATACTAGTATAAATAAAGAGGAAATCATTTTTAGGTTTCACATATGTATTTTTTCTTTGGTCTGTTTCCTTCTCCAAATTCCTTCCACCAACCAACTCCAGCAACAGTTCCCCTTAATCCCCCACTGCCTCCCTACCCTTCACCCTTACCAAGTCAAAAAGAAATAAGTAACCTCAAATGAACTTACCAGGTTTCCTACAGTCAATACCCTACTGAATTGACCAGTCATTGGGTAGTGCTCCATGGCCATAAAGAGGGTATTTAGAACAATGCAAATAGTAATTGCAAGATCAACAAATGGATCCATAACAATTAAATTCACAAGATGCTTTACTTTTAGCCAGGCATCACAGCAATCCCAGATCAAAAACACATTGGCAAATCTATACCAGCATGGTGGACACTTTTGTCTAGATTCTTCAAGTTCTAGGGCAATAATAAATAGGAAGAATAAGATAAATAGTGAAAGTGATTACTGGTGCTATATTTTTAGATATTGTTTGAAAAAAACCAATGCTTCTAGTAGGAGTTAGAAACTCTTAATACTAGTTAAACAAGTGTCAGAAGATAAGCACATTAAAATATTTTCATAAAATGTTATTCAAATCTGCTTTCTATTTTTGATTAAAGAAATTGTCAAATACTCAGTCTGAATTTAATATATTGATTCAAAATAACTAGACAGTGGCTGATAAAATAACTATTTACCTTAAAAGAAAAAATATCTTAATAAGTTTTAATAAATACCAAATATATCAAACATTGATGATTTTTAAAAATACAAACAACACTGTCTTAAATCTGTGATACTTATTAATATCAGTGATTTATTTCCACTGTTTCTGTATCAACAGGGAAGTTACATATAGTGTAAATGTAGAATATGGTTTATAGCAAAGATTCAGAACCAAATCTACTTTTAATTCATAATTACTTATGTCTATTATAATGCTGATATAACATTAAAGTAACTAGCAATTTCAATGAGTGAAGCTCTTAAGATAATTATTACATGACTCCTCAAATATTCTAATGTACCAACAGGACAAGAGAAAAATGTAATTAATATTTTTCTGAACAAATATCATATGTGAACAATATCACAGACTTAGAAAATTGTACTAATGCAATATCCCTCTAAACTTCAAAAGACAAAGATTGATTTAATGAATGAATGAGTGACTAATTCTTATTTCCTATAAGTTGCTATGTGGAAATCAGCAAACATAACCATAGCTGTCCTTAAAGAAATGTAATGTTCTCTTTGTATGTGGAAGATGGAACAGATCTTTGGTAAAGTCTATGTTAAAGCACAGTAATGGTTTGGTTTTGTCCAAATTAGTCATGTCCATCCCCCAACTTTATTAGTACATCTATGTCTAGAGAACAGACATAAAAACTTGAAAGATGCTTTCTTTTCTTATGCATATAAAGATGTAAAACAGGAATGTTTTTACTTTAATAATTTTAAAATAATATAACTTAGGAATGCATTTCATTGAAAGAATACTGTGGTAAAATACCACTCTGTAGACAAAAGGTAGTAAAATAATAGGCACCAATATTATTTCTAATTAACATGATAAAATCTATTCCGCATTTCATCTTCTTAAGTCTACTGTACAGTTCTCATTTTGGGGAAATTGACTTTGGTAATTCTGTAAGAAGGAATAGTTCCACAAAATCATATAGTCATAGAAAACTAATCATCCCACAGCCTACTTCTTACCCTCCATTGTATTGGTCAAAATGCTGGCTATACTCATAGCTCTGTGTCTTCCAGAAGAATCTTCTAGCATTTCCATTGAAATCTGATAAGAACTTAGCCTTCTCTTTCTGATTTCTGTTTCAGTGGTGGTGCCCTGCAAACCAAATACTGATGGTTCAAACCACCCTTTCATTGAATAATATATTGCCACTTGACATTTTTGGAAGTCATTCTTCATGCGACTTTTACAGGTAAGATTTTTTAAATAATAATAAAATATTAAATTTATTATTGTTTTAAACATTTAAAAATCATTGCAAGTGGATGCGCTCTACCAAGAATTTACCAGTTAGATGAAATTGTATAGGGAAATTATGTTGCAGAAATATTTTTGCTAACATGTTTCGGAATTTTTGGAGAATATTTTATAAGCATGCTAAAGTCACTTATTCATTTAATTTAAATGCAGTTATTTTAAATGCATCTCAACTATATATAATCAAATCAATCTTCCTTGAAAACAAATAATAGAATCATATAGTCTCAAGGATGAATTATTTTCTTTGAGGCTATATTAACAGTATTGACATATATGGGCCAAATTTTCCATGCACAAACACAGATGTACAATGAAATGTGTGTGCTTTCCTGGATTATAAAAAATTATTTCTAAGTGCTCCTATAAGTAATTAAATTTGATTATAATATATTTGTCAATTAAATATATTGGTCATTCCAATGTTCAATTTTAAGTACATAAAACTTCAATATGTAAGTAAACAATTGTACAATGTTGGTTAAATATACATATATAACTGATTCTCAAATTGAACATTATTATATATTGGTACTTTCATAAATTTGCAGATGTGCTTCATCCCAGATTCTAAGAAGATTTTTTAATAAGAATTTGGAAGCTAGTGGTCCCATACAATTCAATTGTTTCTGATGATTCTATTGTTTTTCATTCAATTGATCATGTTTCTTTTGAAAACTTTCATTTGGAAGAAGGAGGACAGCATGACTGGCCACTCAGGCCTTGATTTTTCAATTTGGTATGTAATGTGAATAGTAGCTAACTTATCTATTATCACCTCTGGCAGAAGTTGTCCAGAAGGTGAGGTTAGAGTTGATGGTCCACCCACCAAGGAAACCACACCATTGCAATCCACAGTGCTGTGCATCTTCCCATTTGCTGGAAGCCCTGGCACCATCCTGGATGACATACTGGCCTGACTAACGTTACTGTTGCGTCGCTCTCCATGTCTGTGTGGCACAAACAGTGAGTCTCTCCTGCTCTCGCTGTCTTCAAATGTACTGTGCTCATCATCAGCAAAGTCATTTTCAGAACCAACATCCTTTGTTCGACCTCTGAAGCTGAAAATGCTCGTTTTGCTATTGCGTCTCGGAGAAAATAGGGAACCACGGATACTTAACAGAGACTGAGGAGAGAGCAGGAGAAAACAGAATCGGAAAAAAACATCATTATTAAATGAAAATCTTAATACTAAAAGAATCTATTCATCTTTTTGTTTTTGGAAATGGTGATAGACCACATATCATGGCGATATGTGGTCATGGTTTATTTGTCTATTTTGTTTACCGCTAAATTCTTGTTAACAGTACAGAGAACTAAATTATTCTTGTTTGTTTTTGTTTTGCTTGTTTTGGGAGAGGGCGACATCCAATGATGCCTAAGGGCTATTCCTGGTTTTGTGCTAAGACATGACCCATAGCAGTGCTCAGGGGATCCAAGGTGGTGCCAGCAACAGAACTGGGGTTGTCAGCTGCAATAACAATTTTTAAATGAGAGACAAATGGAAGCATTTGACAAGATTTTGACCATTAATTATTGTAAGCTGTGAACAAAAGCAAGACTTTTTAAAAAGGAGAAATTTGCTTCCATCATATTAACTATACTTCATAATATATACAATATAAATTTGAGGTTATGTCACAAATATAAAATCTAAATATGAAATAATATGATCTCAAGAAAAATTATTGTAGACTATTTTCATGGACTCAAGATACTCACTGAGAAGATCACTACTCATATTAAAAGTGAGAAATTATTTCATTACAATTAAAAACATTTATGAGAGAAAAATATGCAAACTAAAGACTAACAGAACTTATTTACATACATAATTTAGCATATTATTATATTAAATATTTGACTTTTCTTAAAGTAGTCTAGTTTTTGAACACAGGCAATCAAGCTTATAAAACACAGATGCTTTCATAAATGCCACAGGCAACTTTAAGTATAAGGAGTACTTTGCTAAATGGGAATCCTGATTTGCTATTTATGAGGTAAATTACTAATTCATTTTCTTTTTTCACTAGTTTTGTGAGGCAGAATCTGTTATAGATTATTATATAATCTGTAATCTGTATATCAGATGTTATATGTTTGGAATTTGATGCTGCAGTATAATTTTATTATCATTTTTATTGATTTTCTGCTCTTTCCTTTGTGATCATAAAAGGGTATTAGTTTACATTTTTTTCTGTATCTGTTTATCTCTACATGGGAAAAAAGTCATGAAACTTACCTCTGAGGATGTCTTCCAAATTTGCTAACAGTTTCCCAAATGGCTACTGATTCATCTTATTTAAGTGAATATGTCAAACACAACAGAGAGAATTCTTAAAATATGTATATATATAAAACTTAGTTTATTTAAAATTTAACAGTATTTAAAAGCAAGACATATGCATATGACTTTAACAAAGCAAAGGATGTAGAAGAGACCTTATTTCTCTGATCTCTTTTCAATTTTACTAGAAAGAAATCAATGGCTCAGAAACATTTTTAAAAATCTTATATGCCCACAAATACATGAAGCAAACCATTTCTAGTTTTAGAAAGTGAAGATTCAGCAGGACTTCTCTCCTTTTACTTTTTGAAATGAATTTTAAACATTAACCCGAAATAATTCTGCTAATGCTAGCCATCTTAGTCATATTAAAACATTCTCTATTCAAACTACAGAATCTTTGTATACTCCCCCCACCATACACAATGGTATTCCCTGTTGCTCCTATTTGATCTCTCATGACCTTTTGTATCTCTCTTTAGAGTTAGAAAGTTTGTTGACTAATATATATCTATGCATACCAATAGCAATCATGGATCTTCCTGTTGTTCTCCAAATTTCAGAGTAAAACGAAATCAAATCAAATAATTTTAGGACAGAACAAAAAAAAAAAAGAAAAGAAACAGCAAAGGCAGACTCCATTAAATTTATTTTGATCCCTTTGAATAATTAGGTCATGCTGATTTTCATAGGTCCCATTTTTAGCTTTATTTTTATGGCTTTTCCCAGACTGAAAAGCACCAGAATATTCTTCATTTCCCTCTGTCTCAATGCATTCAGAAAACATATTATTCATTTTTAAAAGTGCTGTTGCTTTAGATTTGGTTAAATGGGAAGTATTAGCCCTCTAGCCTGTCCTACTAGAAACTAATTGACAGCTTGTTCAACATTTTCCTTCCCAATGTCAGACAATTTTAGCCTGAATTTCCAGCCATCAAAATGATTAAAAGCTTAGACACTGGGAAGAAAAAAGTTCAGTCCCCAGTAAGGCAGAATATGAATGCTTTTCATATACTTAGACTCAATTTAAATTTTCAATGAAATATTATATTATGTTCAGATTTTTTTTGAAGATTGATTTATTGTATTCTATTTTTAGTATTGTATTGTATTTTTAGTTTACTTTTTTAATTGAAATTTAATAAATAGAGAGAAGGATTATTGGAACTGGATACACAATACATATTCCAGGTATGTTAATTATCATCTTATCCACTAAGGTGATGCAGTACCATCACCTCAGTATATCTATACTCAGAAAATGTCTCTGGAAATGAAAATATATCTATATTATATTGGTGGTATGTGTATGTCTATAATGTACCTTGTACATGCCTTTTATTTGCATGTTTTTATGCTGGAGTGTTTTCAAGGCGTTCCAGACCTTTGAATTTATTTGAAACTGCTATTCAATCTTTGGAAAGTATAATAATGGGTGTGAGCACAGCTTTCAAGGCAACAGAAACTTAAAAAGAAGATTACAAAAATAGAATTCAGAGAAAATAAACCAAAAATAACACACTAGATGATGCAGCCAAGTGGAGGGAATACCCACAGCTGTGGAAGCCCTTTATGTAGGGGGGACGTGGTTGAAGGGGAAAGCCTTCTATGCTTAAGAACCAAAAGGCCTTTCCTTATATTAGGCAAAAATATAAATAAATTTATGCCTGAAATATAGATACCAGTTATCCTTTCTGAAATCTGGTTGAAAAAAATTAATGTCAACTGTAGTATTAATTTTCAGTGAAAAGTAGAGAACAAAAAATAATTCTGTAAAACAAAATCCTATATGTAGAGACTAAATGCAAGTGAAATGGGAAAAGTCAACATGGAAGACAACTTAGGGAATTTGAAGATGCTATCATATACTACTCATATGAAAAATTAGCATTTGTTTGAAACACTCCATAGCATTTTAAATTAAATGAATGCACATTATCATTGTTTCAAAAATTTAAAACAATATTTATAATTATAGACCTTGTGTTTTAAAACAATTTCAACGTACCCAAACAATAATGATAACATATTTGGAAGAAATTCACTTTTCATTATAGCTATCTAATATTTTTTTACTCTAAACCTAAATCTTACCTATTTTAAAATAAAACTATATGATGAACATAAAATAACATTAAATTTTATATTAGTAGAGGGCAGGATGATTGTAATTCATGGCTTGTTTGCCTTATCATTTTCAGAAAATGCATTATTTTTTAATGGAATGCCTTGTCCATTTAATTTTATTTATTTTATTTTTATTTTTTTCCCAGTCAATTTTATGCTTCCTGTTTTTACTCCCTTCACAGATCCTCATTCCTGTCAGTGACAGTCTTTTTGTGTTTACCTAGTCAGAAATTACAAAGTAATTCTAGTATTTTTTTGATGAATTGTTTTAATGCTCTCTTCCTGTTTTTTTGTCCTGGCATATATAAATGTTAATGTTACTAGACTACTTCTCTTCTTTTGGAACAATTTTGAGTCTGTCTCTCTCTCTTACTATCATCTATCTCTTGGCCTCCCTACCTATCCACCTATTTCATGATCTTCATCTAGAAATGTGAATGAAATATATGTAACATATGTATATACTAATTCTAATTTTAGAATCAAAACTCTGCTGCTGTCAGCTAACTTCTCTATATTGTTACCTCTCCCTGATTCATTCAACAGGGCCTTGCAGCTGTTCCTTGAGCATTCCAAGCATTTTTTTCTCCTCAGAGTTTTACACTTGTTTCTGAGAGTCTGGAATGCTCTTCCTTGAAATGGCCTCATCTTTCTTTTCTGAATCTTTCTGAAAAATCTCCTGTTTAGTTAGGACTTGCAAAGTCAACCTGTTTGAGAACACTGTTTCATGTTGGTATCCCTATCCCTTGGTCCCACAATCCCTCTTTCTTATTTTTTCTCCCATAGACCCTATTATCTCCCAACACAGTCTCGTACTGTGCTTATTGTATGTCTCCTCCTTTAGCGTGAGTTCCATAAGGTCATAAATTAGATCTCTTGTTCACTAATGTATTCTCATCATTTAAAACAATTTTGGTCGATAATAAAAAATATTTGTTAAATGACCTAATTCATAAGATTATATTTGTTCAAAAGAATGAAGTAATTAAAACATGTAAAGCATATCCATATAAATATTGTGACTATGCATAAACATTTGTGCGTATTTATGACTACACATACATTTTTATTTCCTTCATTTGGTAATTATTCTCCCTTTTACATTTAGTAAGGGCCTCATTATTATTTAGAATGTTTTTTTTTTCTGTATATTGCTTCATGCCACATAATTCTGAGGTAATTCCCTTTCCAGAAACTCAACAAGTTACCTTGTCTCAACTAATGTCACTGAACTAATCTGAAATTCAGAAATGAACACAAACTTTTTTTTGAAGTTAATAATTTAACTATAGTATCAAATATCATTTTAATTATTCCTAATATCTTAATAAAGTTGAAATATAGGGGGTGATAGTTGCAAAAACAGATGTTGTCTAAGAGACTAAATTGCCCTTTAAGATAGTTCAAGATAATACCCAAGTTTTATGATTATTTGTTGTCACATCTTTTATTATACATGACAGCAAAATTTTTTGCCCCCTACAATTGCTGTGCTCAGGGATTACTCTTGATTTTGAGCTCAAGAAACATTCCTCTCCTGGTGAGATTCAGAAAACATATGCTGGGAATTGAACCCGAGTTGGACATGTCCAAGGCAAATGCTTTACCTGCTGTAATCTCTCTCCCTAGCCCTAATAGTCAAATCTCTGAATACTTATATTTAATTTCATAAAACATAGGAGAATTATTATTTGTTTAATTTTTGCATGTATAGCTACATTTTTTCTGAGAACTTAAGTTTTAAGTTGTATTGTTTATTGTAAGTTTTATTTGTATACTTATTATAAATTTTAAAATAGAAGTCACTGAAAACTTATATATACTTTATTTCAAATAGAAATCAAAGTGCTACACTTAATTTTTTGAGCATAGCAATAAGTCATTTAAAAATGTTGTTTTTATAAGAAAGCATCATCCATTTTTGATTTATAATATTTTGCTTTAACTTAAATACATAGTGTGCCTTTATCTGTGTAGTTTAATTCTAATTGATATTAATATGATTAGAAGAGTTAATTCACAATTCAATGTAGAAGTTTGACAAAAAAGGGTTATTTAAAGTGATAAATGTATTAAATACATATTATATAACTATACTGCATATTATGCAATCCAGGTAACTTTTTAACAAAGAACTGAAACTATTTTTTCTCTTTGACTTGGAAATATGCTGAAGAATTTGGTAGTTAGCATTACATGAGAATAAAAATAGATTGTCTTCAACTTAGTTCTTTCAAGAGCATTTGGTTCATAATTTCACTATAATATGCTATTTTATCAATGCAATAGAGGATTAAAGCACTACAGTTCTAATATCAAAGGATGAGGACAAAAAATAAGATATTTAATTTCAAATTAAATGTTATAGGCAAAGATGTTCATTTGAGGTCTCAAATGGAAAATGGTACTGAGATTGCAAAACTATTTCACTGAAAGAAAAGTATACTAAGTATGTTAACAGAAACAAAACAAAAGCAAATTAAAATATCTCAAAATGAGTGCAATGTTTAAAGTTAATAAATAAAATGTCATTGATTTAATAAAAGGTCTTTTAAAAAGACTATGACAAAAATTTAGAAAACTGTATTCTTTCAAAGAGAAATACTGGATGATCTTACTCTTGTGGATATAGAGTTACAAAGCAAGGACGCAAAAGTGAACTTGTAGATTCAAACTTACTGAGCAGAAATTACTAGAAAGGAGAAGTGAGGGAGGTTCTAAGTGAGGGGGGCATCCAAAGATTGTGGAGGAAGGACATTGAAATTTTTGTTGTACTTATTAAATAAAGCACAGCGGGTAGGGCGTTCGCCTTACAAGCGGCCAACATGGCCGACCCGAGTTCGATTCCTCCGCCCCTCTCGGGAGCCTGGCAAGCTACCGAGAGTATTTGATATGCCAGACACAGTAACAACAAAGTCTCCAATGGAGACATTACTGGACCCGCTCGAGCAAATCGACGATCAACGGGAGGGCCTATTAAATAGTAACATGTACTTTGAGCTGGAGCAATAGCACAGCGGGTAGCATGTTTGCTTTGTAAGCGGCTGACCCAGGTTTGATTCCTCCGACCCTCTCGGAAAGCCTGGCAAACTCCCTGTGATGTATTCGACATGCCAAAAACAGTAACAACAAGTCTCACAATGGAGACGTTACTGGTGCCTGCTCCAGCAAATTGATAAATAATGGGAAGACAGTGCTACTGAAAACATGTACTTTGAAAAGGCATGAAATTGTAATTCTGAAAATTGTACAGTGTGTAAACTAATCTTATCTCAACTAAAAAATAGAAAACTTAATGCAAATATAAACATTAATTTCCCATGTATTCTTCAAATGGAGTATAGAAAAATATGCCTAAACATCCAATGAATAAAAAACAAACTGAGTGCTTAGTAGAAACCCTTACCTGATGAGGGGAGCAGAACTTCTTGTCACTAGTTAGTCGATTTCCATCCAAGGAGAAAAGAAAGCTCCTCTTGACACTGTCTTCAGATTCAGATTTTGGAAACCTGTCTCCCTCTCCTTTGTTGTTTACTTCAAAATGCTCCCTTTGTCTTCTTTTTTTCCTTCGGTTCCTCCACTCCTTAGCACTTTTGGAGCTTAACTTTGATGCTTCTGAAGAACTTTCTAATAGCTCCCCTAACCCACCTATTCCACTGAAGTCTCTTGACGCAGCTGATGCTGCTGCAACTGCCTGTTTAAAACAAAGCCAAGAAATATTTAGGACATATGTCATAAAAGCAATTGATTGTATTACACATTTTATGATTTAAGAATATTAATTTTATGGGTAAATTGTTTTTGGTAACTATTTGATGGTGTTTAACTGTGAGAGAATTTACTACACAATAATGACCATACAAAATAGCATAAAGCAATAGTGTTAATAATAGTGCATTGTGGTAGTAAAAGTCTGATTTAGGCAAACCTCTGAGAGTATTTAAAAATATTTTTCCATTAACTTTGCTTTAAAGGATAACTGTTCTCTTGAATGAACTGGAGGGGATTGTGCTATCAAGAGAAACATGAAGGAAGAAGAAAAATAGCGAATGATATGACTCCGAAAAGGGATATAGAGGAGGAGCAAAGCAAGAGAAGATATGGTCCCAAAAGATACACACCCATGGAATAAGGCTTCTGAACTGATGTTATGAAGAGAGCAGGGTCTTAGGAATCAAAGAAGAAAAAAATGGGACAATAAATAAACAAACTATGGTGAAGGTATATCAGTACTTTAGAGATGGCTGCAATGTGATTACGTATATAGAAGTGGTATAACACTATACCCCTAAAACACTAAGTGTAAGCTAAGTTTATCTCAACTAAAATAAATATATATTTAGCTTAAAAATGTTTTTGTGGAAAAAAATTTAAAAAATATTTTGGTGGGGCTGGAGTGATAGCATAGCAGGTAGGGCATTTGCCTTGCACACGACTGACCTGGGTCCAATTCCCAGCATCCCATATGGTTCCCTGAGAACTGCCAGGAGTAATTCCTGAGTGCACGAGCCAGGAATAACCTCTGTGCATCACCGGGTGTGACCCCCCAAAAAACTGTTTGGTTTTGGGAACACACCCAAAAGTGCTTATGGCTTACTCCTGGCTTTATGTTCAGGGATCACTCCTGGAAGGCTTGAGAGAACACATGTGATCCTGAAGATTGACCCACGATCAACTGTGTGCAAGGAAATACAAGTGCTTTACCCACTGGACTATCACTGTGGCCCCAGAGCTTTCATGTTTAATATTACTGTTATTGCTGTTTTAGTTTTTTACTATACTAGAAAGTACTCAGGGACTATTCCAGGATGTAACAGAGGAATCATGTGGTACAGAGGCTCAAACCTGGGGCTCCTGTGTGCAAAGCACATAGTCAAGTTCATTGAAATATAATTACAGCTCCTGGTCATATGTTTTATTGCTCTATTTATTATTTCTTTTGATTTTTATTAACAATATTATTAATAGAATTTCAAACATACAATGTTCCAACTCTAAACCTACCGTCAAGTGTCAGCATCCCTCCACAAAGGACTTCCATGTTTTAAAAACTAATGTTTTCTTCCTAGTGCCTGCTGATCTGATTACTATTTTAATTCTATTTGTAGGCTTTCCACAACTTACTGTGAACAACTGTTTGATAGTTTTCTCTCCAAGTCCAGAATAAGACCCTTTTCTTTACTTTAGTTCTGAGCACAAATTACCTAAAGTGTCTACTACTACTACTACTATTACTACGACTACTACTACTACCACTACTACTACTACTACTACTATTTATAGATAGAAGTATTGGGAATATTTTAGATAGTTTATCCTCTTTATTCATTTGAATTACACTTAGTGCAGAATAGTGTTAATTTTTCCATGTTAAATCCTAGAGTCACATGTTTAATTTATTACCTTTTTAAAAATTTAAATGATTATAAATGTATTATTATTTGGAACTATAAGAAATAATTGCTTTATCAATCTATAAACATACAAAATATTAAAAGGATTATAAGAACTCAAAATATGTTTCCATATTTCTGCAATAAGTGTACTTAACCACTTAAAATTTTGATATTTATAAATGAAATAAAAGCAAATAAAAGTAAATATAGCAGGTGTTTAATTATTTTTATTTATGTAGTAGTATTTTTAGACTAGAAATGACTTACTAATGACAATGGAGGATATGACAATAGTATAAATCATATCAAAGCTGAATTTCCATTAAGTTTATTCCTATTGTTAAGAACAGTCTTGGAAGTGAAAATGATCAGACAATGAAAACATTGGTTAAACTGTTCACATATTTCGTTATAAAATTCAGTTAGCTATGATTACTCTATCTTGTTATTCTATCTTCTTTTTTTCTATCTTCTTTATATTATAAGCTAGATAGGAATTTTGCCATATGTGCATTGGCTAATATTTCATCTGATTATAAAGGGACTCTGTAAATTGCTTGATTATTATAAAAAAAAAAACCATCAAGTTGGGAATTGTCTCAGATACGGGGTCAAAGATAAGTGAAAACAGGTCATAATTAAACTTTATTTTTAAAGATCTCAGAAAACATCTAATATCAGAATGTTCTGTCACTGACACTGACCTCCCGTTGTTCATTGATTTTTTTCGAGTGGGCACCAGTAATGTCTCCATTGTGAAACTTGCTATTACTGTGTTTGGCATATTGGATACGTCACAGGGAGCTTGCCAGGTTTTGCCCTGTGGGCAAGATACTCTCGGTAGCTTGCCTGGTTCTCCGAGAGGGGTGGAGGAATTGAACCTGGGTTGGCCAGGTCGGCTACATGCAAGGCAAACGCCCTACCCACTGTGCTATCACTCCAGCCCATCAGAATGGTCTGTATAGCTGAAATATATTTAGAAATTAAAAATATAAGATATATAATGCTTTGCAATATTTGTTCTTTATGTTTCTGCCTTTGCTCGAGGAGCGATAGCACAGCGGTAGGGCATTTGCCTTGCATGCAGCCAACATGGCCGACTTGAGTTCGATTCCTCCGCCCCTCTCGGAGAGCCCGGCAAGCTACCAAGAGTATTCGATATGCCAGACACAGTAACAACAAAGTTTCCAATGGAGATGTTACTGGGCCCGCTCGAGCAAATCGATGATCAACGGGAGGGCCTTTACTTACTTACTTTATGTTTCTGCCTTACTGTAAAAACTGAAAACACTTCTAAGTTGCTTTTATTTATAAATATCATTTTGTCTTAACAAAATTTTTAAAAAGCTTTAAAACTAAAGGAAAAACCATATTGAGAAATAAAAAATTGGGAGGTATCTCATTATCTAACTTGAAGTTATATTATAAAGCTATAGTGATCAAGCTAGCATGATGCTATAATAAGGATGGATTCTCTGACCAATGGATTAGAATCAAGTACCAAGGACAAATCCCAGATCTATGATTAGCTAATTTTCAACAAGGGAACTGGACATGTGAAGTGGAGTAGATAGCTTCTTCAACAAATGGTGCTGGAAAAAGTGACTAACCAGAATAACCATCCGTAAAAGATGAAGCTGGATACATATCTCATACTTTACATAAAAGTAAATTCAAAGTGGGTGAAAGACCTTGAAATCAGACCAGAATACATAGAGAATGCTGAGAAAAATACTGGCAGAACACTCCAGGATTTGTATCTCAAAGATGTTTTCAACTATATGATTCCACTGGCAAAGGCAGCAGAAACAAAAGTAAACAGATGGAACTACATCAAATTGAAGAGTTTCTACATGGCAAAAACAACATCAAAAATTTAAAGGCACAGTGCTAAATGGAAAAATATTTGCACTCAGCACATATGATTATTATACAAGATACATAAAGAAATTATAAATACCAGCAAGAGCACAAAAAATATAAGCCCAATTAAAAACTGGGTAAGAAATGAACATCTTCTGAAGAAGATGGATGAATGCCCAATAGGCACATTAACAAGTGCTCACCATCATTTATTATTTAGGAAATCCAAATCAAGATGACAATGAGATTATAATCTCACAAAGTCAAAAAAGTATCAAAAATCTGGGAGCAGTCTGTGGTGATGTGGGATGAGGGATGCAGTGAAAAAGCAACTCTCCTTCACTATGGTGGGAAGGCTGTCTGCTTTTACTAACCCCTATGGAATACAGTTCAGAGACTTCTCAGAAAAGTGAAAAGAGAGTTGGAGTATGACCGAGTAATTTCATTTATTGCTATATACTCGCAGGAGATAAAAACATTCATTCAAAAGGATGTATGAACCATTATTCATTGTAGCACTCGGCAAAATAGAATATATCAACTTACGTGTCTAATGACACATGAGCAAATAAAGAAGGTGTAGTATATATTCACAATGGGATACTATAAAACTGAACAGAATGACTAAATTATGTAATTCAGGCAGTTGGATAGAACAGGAGGGTATCATGTTAAGTGAATTAATCAAAAGAAGAAAGACACATATAGATGATCTCACTTACTTGTGGAACATAGAATTACAGGAGAAGAGAATACAAAATATCAATGGAGGAATACCTAGATAACCCTGGCTCTAGATCATATAACTGAGGAAAATAGGGAAGGAAAAAAAAAACCAAAGGGAGAAAGTAAGAAAAGGTGGATGGAAGGCAGCGGCCTCAAAGACAACAATGCGGCAAAGGTGTGGTATATCTATGTATCTGAACCAAAGAACCAACAAACATGAAAGCATGAAATCCAAATAACCAAACTTAATAATGTGTTTATCTAGCAGGCAGGCTGGGAGGTTGGAAGAAAACTGGGGACATGTGGGAAGAAACTGATATTGTTGGTGGAATTGGTGTTAGTATATATAGTAACTCAAACTGTAACTTTGCAAATAACAGTACCTTAATAAAAGTGTTTAAAGAATACAAATAAATCAAGTGAATGTGAAAAGAGACTGTAGGTACTATGATACAAATTTCTCAGAATTAAGATGGCCCCAGGAAACTGAGCTATATGTGCAGTTAGAACAATTATCTATGTAGTTACATCTATATATTATGCTAAGCAGCATGTAAAATGCTCATTTATAGAGGCCTAGATCTCAAATTCCTAGTAAGACAACTTGAAGCATTTAATGAAAGTTTAATTTGGGACTCATATACTTATAAATTTGCATAAATAGCCAATTCATTATTAAATTCTTGACCATCATTATCACTTATAATATCAATTATGAATGTTGGGAAACATAAGGGTGTTTTTTAAATATGATTATTTGTGTGGACTGGAGCGATAGCACAGTGGGTAGGGCGTTTGCCTTGCACTCTGTGGACCCCAGGCCGACCCGAGTTCAATTCCTCTGCCTTTTACTTCCTCCGCCCCTCTCGGAGAGCCCGGCAAGCTACCGAGAGTATCTTGCCCACACTGCAAAGCCTGGCAAGCTACCCGTGGTAAAGGTAAAGGTAAAGGCCCTCCCGTTGATCGTCGATTTGCTCGAGCGGGCCCAGTAACGTCTCCATTGGAGACTTTGTTGTTACTGTGTCTGGCATAGCGAATACTCTCGGTAGCTTGCCGGGCTCTCCGAGAGGGGCGGAGGAATCGAACTCGGGTCGGCCATGTTGGCCGCTTGTAAGGCAAACGCCCTACCGCTGTGCTATGTATTCTATATGACAAACACAGTAACAACAAGTCTCACAATGTTACTGGGGCTGCTGGAGCAAATTGATGAACAAGGGAGGACAGTGACTGTGATTATTTTGTATAATATCTAAGTAAAGGGAGTCCTCATTTACTTATCTGAAAAATGTTACATATACTACATTGTACTTGATACATGGGAGATACATAATATCCATCACTTGTGGAAGGAATGAATGTGCAAGTGTTCCTTTTCAAATAGCTTTTAATTCTTCTCACTTTGTATAGAGAAAATAAAAACACACAACATACAGCTCTATTCATTTATTACCCTGTTTGTCATTGGAAACAAAGGAAGTGGTGGTAATATCCCTGCCATAATCCTGAAATTCATGTTCATTTAAATCACTTCCAGAATTTGTTTTGCTTAAGATGTGATTTCCCTACCTATTTTGGGTAACAGTCAAACAACTCAAAATCAAAACATATTCCTAAGGTAACAAAGACAACTATCAACATAACATATTTACTGTGTTGCTCACCAACTCATCTATGTCACTTGTTCCACTTGCAATGTTTTGTTGAGTCTCTCAAAGGCAGATGTTTCCTGCCACCCCTCATGCTTTATACCTGCTTATACCTAGCCATGTCACATTGCAAATGCCCTGTTCGCTTTGACTATTACTTCCACAACTGGGATTTCTTTTGTAACAAATAACTATGAACTCAATGCTTACACAGTGAACACCATTTTCTCAAAGAACATTTCTGCGTAATACAAAGTAGGCTCTGTAACTCATTGTACTTATGTATTTTAATATAATTCCACACAATTGTATTTGTGATAATTTTAAACATAGAAGCTGGTAATAAAATTCCATTCAAAACTAGAAATTTATCACTATTTCAATTTTAGTCCTAAGTACATTAGAACTCTTAGTGTTAAAATTTTCATTTTGTTTCAAAACTGACTCTCAAATTATTCATATCCAAAAAAATTGTTTAAAGAAAAATATAAAAAAAATTATTAAAAAAACAGCTATCGTGGGCATTATTAGAAATGTAGCACTGTAGTACTGTCCTCCCATTGTTCATCGATTTGCTTGAGCGGGCACCAGTAATGTCTCCATTGTGAGACTTGTTACTGTTTTTGGAATATGAATACGTCACAGTTAACTTGCCAGGCTTTGCCCTGAGGACTCAATACTCTTGTTAGCTTGCTGGGCTCTCTGAAAGGGGCAGAGGAATCGAACCGGGGTCGTTTTGGGACTGTTGCGTGCAAGGCAAGTGCCCTACCCACTGTGCTATTGTAAGTATCACAAATTAAATATAAAACAATTAGTTTCACTTTATTAAAATGAGTTTTATTTACTTATATTATTTTAACCAACTAGCACTTGAGGTGCCTCAAAAGATATTAAAATAAAGTAATGCTAAGTTTCCTAAAGTTATTTGTTATACTGATATACTACTTGTTTACTGATGATTAGTGAAAAATCAATAACATATATCACACTTGGAAACAATTAAAATTGGCAATTGACTTAAATGTAAAATGCAAAGCTATAAACTTTTTATAATGATTTGTCAAAAAATATTAGATACAACATCAGAGGCATAATAAAACCAACAAAATTTGATAAGCAGTACTTTGTAAAGTACATCAAAATAAAAAATTTTAACTTGAAAATACCATTAATGGGTCTGGAGCAGTAGCACAGTGGGTAGGGTATTTGCCTGCACGTGGCCAACCCAGGTTCGATTCCCAGCATACCATATGGTCTCCAGAGCACTGCCAGGAATAATTCCTGAGTGCAGAGCCAGGACTAACCCCTGAGCATCGCCAGGTTTGACCCAAAAAGCAAAAAAAAAAATATATCATGAATGGTATTAAAGACAAAATACTTGCAAGTATATGTCATAAATGATTGAATAACTTATTCACAGAATATATAAATAGTATTCAAATACACTATTAGGAAAACAAACAACCCAAATAAGAAAAATGTGCAATGGAGAATGGCTAGAAAGACTGATCATACCAAATATTGGCAAAGATTTGGCAAAAACCTCTAATTTATAGGAATCAGATTTCACTAAATTATCCCATGATGTTCAATCATCAATGTGTTTTTAAAAAATCAAATACTAGCTATTGTTCCTTCCATTTTTCTCAAGACATTAATGCCCCATTCATCAATTAATTAACTCAGTCTTTAATGTTAAATGAGAAAATAAAACTGGAGTCTGATGGCAAATGCCTTCCTAATATCCTCATAGAAGTTGTAGCAAACCCTTTTAATATTAAAGATGCTTCAAAAACAGGGGCTGGAGCAATAGCACTCTGGGCAGGGCGTTTGCCTTGCACGCGGTCGACCCGGGTTCAATTCCCAGCATCCCATATGGTCCCCTGAGCACCACCAAGAGTGATTCTTGAGTGCAAAGCCAGGAGTAACCCCTGAGCATTGCCGGGTGTGACCCAAAAAGCAAAAAATAATAATAATAGTAATAAAGATGCTTCTAAAACAATTGAGTAGATATGCATAGTTTTATCACTAACATTTGAGATTAATTGACATCACAGATAAATCACAACTGTTATAATTAGTATGGAATGTTAATGGCTGGAATATCAGTTATGTATGTTTTCCTATTAAACTAAAAATCCCCTCTTGAGTTTCATAAGACATTGCATAACTAACTTCATCCTGTCTCTTACTGATAGTGAATTTATTGATATATAAAATCTAAAGTGTTCCTTTGACTCCAACTTCAGAAACAATTTTAGATTTGAGTTGATTTCCCTTTTCTATAAACAATGCATTTATTCCTAACGAAAAGTTAATACTTCCATGTTGTAATAATAGTGATAGTTAAAAATAAATAATCTTAACAACAATTAGGTTTTTGCTTATTATCACTCAATACCTGAGCTTCTTCCTGTTGCTTTTTAAGCTGTTCAAGCATCTGCTGAAATTCAGCCTCCTTCTGTTCTGCCTCTTCCAAGGTGGCCTGATTCTGTTCCTCATAAGCCATAGCCACCACAGCCAGGATCAAATTTACCAGATAAAAAGAGCCCAAGAAAATCACCAGGACAAAAAATATCATATACGTTTTTCCAGCAGCGCGTAATGTCTAGGGTGAAAAGATATATATTCTTCAATATTTCAAAGACAATTTTAGTACATCCAATGTATTTTGACTAAGCTGCTTTTAATGTTAAAATGCCAGCATATAAATGTTTCATAACTGTAGTCTAATTTTACGTAAACATTCACATTTCAAGATATCATTATGTTTGATATATATTTTTCCTCCACCTAAATACTTTTTTCCTGGTACATAATTTAGGACAATGATGCTAATGGAATATTGCATCTTTTATTTCTTTTAATGGTGTTCTACTCTTTGGTTGTAACTCTTCATCATATGGATATAACATCATTCCCCACCCCGCCTTTTAGCCTCAGTTAACTATTAGCTTGTTAGGAAAAAATATATAATATAATTGAGTTTCAAAATACTTTTTACATTTTCTATTAATCTCTAAACTATATTACAAACTCAAAATCTTTGACATGTTTTGAACACTCTCCATAACTTCGAGGTCCTGATACTACAGGTACCAAAGGAAGAAATGACTTGAATATTTATAGTGGACTCTCCTCTATAGTGTTACCGGGTTATAAACAAGAATCCACATATGACACTGTATATGTGCTTACAAAAAAAATTCTACACATGTTGATTTAATTTCACTATTATGAGCTGGATGCTTGACCCACCCTCCTCCTAAAAGGCCTCAAATTTATATGTTGAAATAATGACTGCTAAAGTTGGTCTTTGGAGGTACTTCAGTCATGAAAATGGAGTTCTCATAAATGGGATTAGTGTTCTGATAAAAGAGCTAGAATGAGGGCCCTCACCAGATTGTGAAAATATGATACCATAGGTTGTCTCAGACTTTGTGGCCCCTGGAACAGTGACAAATAAATTTCAGGTATTTATAAGCTAGTTAGTCTGTGGTGCTTTGTTCTAACAATCCCAAAAAGACTAAGACATTTACCAACTGGTAGAGATTCTCCCAGTAGTCTTGAGTCATGAGACGAAATAGAGATAGGAAAGCCCAACTAAATGTATCGAAGCTGGTGTAGCCATAGTTGGGGTTTCGACCAGCCTTCACACAGATGTATCCTTCTGGACACTGTCTGTAAGAGGGAAATAGAGATTAGTAGAACAATTATAGATTTTTTAAATCAATATTTTTTAGTTTATAGGAAGTATCAAAACCTCTAGTTGCTGTCTCTGATAAATTTTCTTTCCTTAATTTCCAGATCATTGTAAGAAATAGCTCACAGTACAACTGTTATCTGTTGAAAGGCTTTAGGAAAATGAATAGAAAACATTTGTACAAAGTAGTCAGATTTCAGACATTTAGAATGGCAGAGGACAGCAACACATATTTTCCTTTGTCATTATCAATATCCTTTCTCTGTGAAGCAGCAACAATCAGCAGTTGAAAATAAAACTGAAAAACAACCAGTATGCTTTACCATTTAACATGCTACTTCATTAGCCACTTTGATAGAATTTTCTAAAATAAAATTTAAATTTTAGAACAATTATATATTTTTAGAAAACCCCATGATAGCAGAAACTTCCCATATATACCATGATCAGTTTTCCCTATGATTAACATTTTTACATAAAATTTCTACTTGTGAGTTATTTTGAAAAAAGTCCAATACTTTATTCTGATTTATTTTAAGTATTTTTTATGGGCCGGAGCGATACCACAGCAGGTAGGGTGTTTGCTTTGCATATGTGGCAGACCTGGATTTGATTTCTCTGCTCCTCTCGGAGAGCCCAGCAAGCTACCGAGAGTATCCCACCCACACGGCAAAGCCTGACAAGCTACCCGTTGACGTATTCGATATGCCAAAAACAGTAACAAGTCTCACAATGTAGATGTTAGTGGTGCCCTCTTCAGCAAATCAATGAACAATGGGAGGATAGTGCTACAGTGCTATATTTTTTACGTTATGAGGTCTCCTCTAATAATTTAATAGCCAGGAATATTTCCTCTCCTCTTTGTTATTACAATTTGTAAGTTGTTCCTTGTTTTAAATGATTTTGACAACTTTGTAGTATTTAAGACATTTTGAAAAGTTTCCTTGAAACAAAATTTGTTTGATATTTGTCTCATTAGAGTTATACAATTTTGGGAGGAAAACTACAGTGGAAAGACATCTTTATCATCACATCTTATCAAGGGTACATTCCTAACACCACTATTAATTTTAATTTTCATCACCTGATTGTGATTAGCATTTGACAGGGTTCTACACTGTCAACTTATTTTTTTTATTTTTTCTATACTGCCCTCTACAGAACCAAGTCATCATGTGTACATAATACTTATGGGAAAAGAGCTAATAATTAATCTTAAAAGACCAGCTGTGTATATATTTTATTTGAAATCTGCATGGAAGATTCACTTATTAGCTTTCATTTATTTCTATCTATCATCTATTTAATCATTTATTTGAATATTATATAGATGTGTCTTTTATATTTTGAATTCTAAGCAACATATTTCATGATTTGTTTTTAATTGAAAATGTTCTAGATCAAAAATCCATTGGACTGGGACTGGGGTGATAGCACAGTGGGTAGGGCATTTGCCTTCCATGCGGCCAACCCAGGTTCCATTCCCAGAATCCCATAATGTCCCCCAGCACTGCCAGGAGTAATTCCTGAGTGCAGAACCAAGATTAACCTCTGAGGTGGGAGGGTGGAAGGGGCATCATGGGAAGGGGGGCGTTCTGGGCCGTCCTTCACGCCCGACCGAGGTCACCAGCTGCCCCCCACGAGTGGCTCTCCGGCACGGCCACGACTCCAGAGCACAGAAACCAATCTCTTAACTATCTAACTTTTAATAGAAATACTTCCAGGGTTAATAAGTAAAACAGCAGAAATCCAAAACCGCGCGGCCGCTATTGTGGCCGCGCGACATCATTTTATTCTTAAACCATTGTTGAAAGCAAATCATTTCACAATGCTGTTTCAGCATATCTGATTGGGGAGGGTCATAAACTCTAAACAATAATTGTGCATTTTCTATCGAAACGGTGTATATAGTCAAAGTAGATAGAGTATTAACTAGAACTCATCTGCCACACAGGAATTGGGAGGGATGGGAGGTGGGGTTCTATTGGGGTTCACGGTTAAAAATAAGTATTGGTAAAGGGAAATGTGTTTGATACTTACATGACTGAGACCTAAACCCGAAAGCTCTGTAACTTTTCCCACAGTGATTCAATAAAGAAATAAATTATAAAAAAAAAAGACAAAAAAGAGTAACCCCTGAGCATCGTTGAGTGTGACCCAAAAAGCAAAAAAAAAAAAAAAAAATCTATTGGTCTTTGGTACATCTACACAATGGAATACTATGCGGTTTTTAGAAGAGATGAAATTTGTATATAAATGAATGGACCTGGAGAGCATTATGCTAAATGAAATTAGTCAGAAATAGAGGTACATATATAGAATGACTGTACTCATTAGTGGAATATAAGGTAGCATGATATGAGACTAACACCAAAGGACAGTAGAGACAAGGGCCAGGAGGATCACTCCACAGTTTGGAAGCTGGCCTCATCTGCTGGGGGGAAAAAGCAGTTGGGATGGAGAAGGGACCACTAAGTAAATGATGGTTGGAGGAATCACTCAGGTTGGGAGATGTCTGCTGAAAGTAGATTACGGAAAAACTATGATGGCCTTTTAGTATCTGTATTGCAAATCATAATGCCCAAAATAAGAAAGAGAATAAGAAGGAAGGTGCCTAACACAGAGGCTGGGGTGGGATGGGGTGGGGGTGATAGGAGGGACACTGGGAACAATGGTAGTGAAAAATGTGCATTGGTGGAGGGATGGGTTCTCAATAATGGTACGACTGAAACATAATCATGAAAGTTTATAACTGTATCTCACAGTGATCCAATTTAGAAAAATCCACTGGGAATTTTTTTAGTCGATTTCTATATCACTGAAATAATCTCGTGCCCTGTTTTGTTTTTTTTATTAATTTGTTAGTACCTGACACTACAGTATGTTCCAGAATTATTTTTATAGCCCACACCCCAGGTCTAAAACATGTAATCCCTCTAAGAACCTCGGGCCCTTTTATTGGAGAATGGTACCAGAAAGCAAGATCTACATGCACACGTGGTGTCACTAATTCTAGGATCTCATCTGACAAAGAAAGGACATAAATGTGAACATGAGAATGTGAACACAGCTATATCTGCATAAATATTTCTGTGTGTAGCACTTGTGTCTGTGTTAAGCTAAACATGAGGTCACACTTGTGTCTCCAACTTTATTTCATTACCAAAGGATCAATCATCTCCAAAGTTATCTAGATTAGAACCTATTTCCTACCTTCTATAGTGAAGCAATTGTCACTGTCACTGTCACTGTCACTGTCTTCCCATTGTTCATTGATTTGCTGTAGTGGGCCCAGTAATATTGTGAGACTTGTTACAGTGTTTGGCATATCGAATATGTCACGGGTAGTTTGCCAGGCTTTGCCTTGCGGGCGAGATACTCTCAGTAGCTTGCTGGGCTCTCTGGGAGGGTTGGAAGAATTGAAGTAATTGTATACAGTTTAAATACCTTTGGAATTCCTCAAACCCCATACTATTAATTTGCATAAACTATTTACTTGTAAGGTTATAAAATCTCATGAGTTTTGATAAGTGTTTAATGTTCACCACGACAGAATCAAGGAAAATCATTTATGTACCTTAAATAATTTTCCGCTAGGCCCTAAATATATCTTCTATATCCTTTACATTATCCCCTAAATCTATCTCCTGTGCTTCAACCTCCTGCCCTAAACTGCAGAAAATCACTGTTTTTTTTTTTTCCTTTTGGATTATGAGCCACATACCTGACAATCCTTAAGGGAACATTTCTGATGGAGTTCATTTAAATTAGCTATGCACAAAGCAAGCATACTATACCTATCCACTGTACTACCACTTCAGCTCAACAATGTTCTTTCAATTATTTCTATTATTTATATTTTTCAGAATGCCATGTAATTGGAATAATGTCATTTGAAGCTTTTTCAGAGTGACTATTTTTCACATAAAAATAAGCACTTAATATTTATCAAGGTTTTTTTGTGTTATTTTATAGTTGATCTCTTTTTATCACTTGATCACTTGGTTACTCATCAATTGCTTGAGCGGGCACCAGTAACGTCTCCATTAATCCCTGTTGTGTGCTAGCATAGCCCAATGGTATCTGCTCATTCTTGGAACACAAAGAGCCTCAAACCAATTGTTTAAGGTCTTGACGAAGAAGTCTGACCATCACGTAGGTGGGCAGCCACGCAATCTTTTGACGTCCTGTGGAATCCAGTCGGTAATGGCTCTAGTTTAGCGGTTGTCTTCAAATCTCATTACGTGTCCAGCCCATCTGATTTTCGATGCTTTGCCAAAGACAGCGTCCCTGATTTTTGAGTGTTGATGGAGGTCGGAATTCCAGATTCTTTCTCTCATTTGAGTGAAGCGTGATACTCAAAGCATAGCTCTTTGGATTCCTCTTTGAGAATCACGAATAGTGTTCTCATCCTGTTTTCGTAGGGCCCAAGTCTTTGAGTCATATGTTAATGCAGGAAGAACAGTGGAATCGAAGACATGTGCTCAGAGCTGGAGGTTCTTCATCTTCTTAGTTATTTCTTCTTAGTCTTGAAGGCGTTCCAAGCTGCTCTCTTCCTCCTGTGCAACTCAGGTGGCAGGTCATTCGTCATGTTGACTTCTCGACTTAGGTACGCATAACTGTTGCATTCGGAAATGGTCATTCTGTTGAGAGTGAATGGAACGTCAGGAACAAGACTGTTTCTCATGAACATTGTCTTTGTGAGATTCAGCTGTAATCCAACCTTTCCACACTCACGGTCGAAGTCGGTCAGCATTTGTGCTTCTTGGCTGATGTTTGGTGTTATTAGAACGATGTCATCAGCAAAGTGGAGATGGTGTAGTTGCCGACCATCTATCTTCACTCCCATTCCTTCCCATTCCAGTCGTCACATGATGTTCTTGAGGGTGGCACTGAAGAGTTTCGGTGAAATAGTACCACCCTGCCGAACCCCTCTCTTGACATGGATGAAAACTTCTTTGTAGAATGGTGAGATCCTGGTAGTGAATCTGTAATGCAGCTCACGAAGGAGCCTGATGTATTGAGTTTGAATGCTCTGATTAGCTAGGGCTTCAATGACTGCTTCTGTCTCAACAAAATCAAAGGCCTTCTTTAAATAAATGAATGTTAGACAGAGCAGCATCTTGAACTCCCGAGAAACCTCAATGAGCTTGGTTATTGTGTGGATATGGTCGATGGTGCTGAATCCTTTGCGGAACCCAGCTTGCTCGCATGGTTGTCCTTCATCTAGTGTTCTGCCAATCCTATTCAGGATGACTCTAGTGAACAGCTTGTAGATGACAGACAATAGGCAGATTGGGAGATAGTTGCCAATGTCATGGATGTCTCCCTTCTTGTATAGTAGTACAGTCCTGCTGGTTTTCCATTGGGACGGAACCTTGCATGCAGACAGGTAGCGTGTGAAGAGCCGAGCCAGTGTATTGAGGGGTACTGATGGTAGGGTCTTCAGGTGTTCAGGGCTGACCTTGTCTGGACCAGGTCCTCTTAGTTCCTTTACTGACGAAATGCCATGTCAAATTTTGGAAGGGATAACGTTGGGAATGACATATCCATCCTGCAGAATTTGGTATGTGGGCAGGTGGACATGGCTATCGAAGAGATCTGAGTAGAAGTCATGAATAATCTTCTCCATTGCCCTTCTGGAAGATGTGACAAATCCATCAGGATGTCGGAGGGCAGTCATCTTGGTCTTGTAATTGGTGAAGGACAGGCGGGCATTACGAATGCTTTTTCTGGCTTCTGCTGCATCTACCAGCACTGCTGCTCTTCTCTCTTTGAGGTCTTCCTTGATGGCTTCTCTGCACTGCTTTGAGAGCTCGGACTTTTGCTTGCGGTTGCCTGAGGCATTCGCCAAGCCATGTTTGCGAATAAGCTCAGGAGTTTCCAAAGACAGGTCTTTTTTTATGGTTATCTCTCTCTTGGCGTTCCTCGCACAATCATGGAGGTGCTGAACCAGTAGATCATATTCCTAGTCAATGTTGTCAATGATGGCATCTTCCCATGTTGCTGCAACAGAGCCAAAGAGCTCCAGTTGGTAGTCTTTCTGGGAGTTCTCTTCTTAAACTTTGAATTCCTTTCTCCCTGCTCTGTGAAGTAGAATTTGCATGAAGGAGACCGTGGTTCGATCCTGTTTGGAATTTTGGGATAACAGCGACATCAGTCATGCAAAACTGTCGATTGAATAAGATGTGGTCAATTTCGTTGTGGGAACTGTCCACCAGGAGACTCCCATGTCCAATGTTTAGATTTGGCCTTTTGGAACTGTGAGTTACCATGGATGGTATTGGTCAACATGATGAACTCAGACAGTCTCTCACCCTGTTCGTTCCATTCTAGACCATGGGTCCCGATGTGGAGTTCTTTGGCTGATCTTGGTTCTATCTTGGCATTAAAATCTCTGACAATGATCTTGTAGAAGGTGTGGTCTTTATAGAACTTCTCCAGCTCCATGTAGAACTTCTCAATTTCTCCTTCATCATAGTTGGATGTTGGTGCATAGACAACGAAGATAGAAACTGCCAGCAGTGAACCACATCTATTCAAGTGTAATCATCTAACTCGGGTTGTTAGGCATTCAAATGAATCAATGCTCCTGGCTAAGTTTGTGTTGACGAGGACACCGACATCACCGACATCTCTTTTGTCACATGTTCCAAGGAACAGTTCTTCTCCAGTGTCGAAAACAGCGTGATGTGATTGATGCCTTCTCGTCTCGGTCAGACCAATGATGTTGTACTTGATCTTTCGCACTTGTACCATCAGGTCCTCGATGGATGCATTAGATGCCAGCATACGTGTACTGAAAGTAGACAGTCATTTTTGTCTTTCTTTGTTTTGGCAGCCTAGATCAGCCTTGAGATTTTATCAGCCTCTCCTTCCATATCCTTCTCAACGCTGCCGTATTCAGGGTCAGGGGAATGAGACCCATTGTATTTACTGGATTTGGCATATCGAATACATCACGGATAGCTTGCCAAGCTCTGCCGTGTGGGTGGGATATTCTCAGTGACCTGAAAACACAAATAAACTTTACAGGTGTTCCTATTCAGGCATATGTGCTGGTATGATACTGTCAGTAGCCTGCCAGATTCTCTGAGAGCGAGAACAAGGGAATAAGAAGTCCAGGAACTTGGTGTTATAATCTCTGGATCCTGGCCATTGATGAGGTTACAAGGCAGTTGGTGGGTGTAACTATCTAGGTACTGGAAGGCCCAGTCCCTAACTGTGCAGGCTTGGAGATCACAGCCCCGAGTCCCGCACACCTGGGTTCCTCTGCCAGTTCCTTTATACGTGAGGCTCATCCAAGCATGTGGAGAGTGGTCTCGGCATGGCTTTGGTTGGGTCTTGGAGGTCTTCAGCTGTCGGGACCTAGTGAGGACAGTCAGGCATGGGGTAGGAGACTCTGGTTTGTTCTCTTCCGGGAGCTTGGTGTTATAGTCTCTGGATCCTGGCCATTGTATTTTATTTTATTTTTTATCACTGAATACTATTTTATTTTATTTATATTCTATGATTTTTGCATCCATTTACCTCTTGAAAACAGCTTGATATGTTCCATATCCCATTTTTTAAGTTGACTAAAATATATTTTATGTGTATGGTCTGAGAATTATTTCCTTTTGCTATTTATTGGTTAAAAAATCTTTCTCTTCTCACAAGAGTTGCCATTTCTCCTTCAGTAGAATTTAGGTTGTTTACAAAGTACTACGGTATTTTTTGGGCTTAAAGATACATCCCAGAGCTTGGCTATGCAATTTTTTGTTTGATTTTTAGATTTGTGTGCACATTTATGGTTCTCATTGTTAATATTTGATCGCTTAGGGTATTGACAGTAACGGTTAGCTTAGTTGTGGTTGATAAAGAGGTTTAAAAATGCAGTGTCTTGAAAATGAGAAGCTGTTAAGCGAAATGATTGAGAAAGAGACGAATAGACATAAAAAGATTGCATTCATCTGGGGGACATAAAGTAACAAAATAGGAGATTAATACTCAAGAATAGCTGAGATCAGTACCAGGAGGATTACTCCATGGCTTAGAGGGCAGCCGGGCACTCTAGGGGAAAGGGCAGCTCAGATAGAGAAGGGAGCACCAAATAAAGGATGTTTGGAGGATCCTCCCAAGAGGGGAGATACATGTTGAAAGTAGACTATGGACTGAACATGATTGCCACTCAATGCCTCTTTTTCAGACCACAGCACCCAAAAGGAGAGAGATAACAAAAGGGAATGCCCTGCCACAGAGGCAGGTTGGGATGGGGGAATGGGTGTGGGAGGGATACTGGGATCCATGGTGGTGGAAAATGGGCACTGGTGGAGGGATGGATACTTGATCATTGTATAATCGAAACCCAAGCACAAAAATTTGTAAATCTACAGCTGTACCTCATGGTGTTTCAGTTATAAAAATTAAAAAAAAAGAAAAATAAAGAAAATGAGAAGCTGAAAGTAGAAGATATTGTTTCCTATTTAGTAGTTTCCCAACCTCTCAGGTACCAAGTTTATGTGTCAGGATGAGTGATGTAGACTAGGAAGCATGGCCACTGGACCGTCCAACAGGCAGTGCATTATGCCAGGCCTTCACACTGTTTTTAACATAGCAATGTTTGTATGATATTGGAACCTACATTCATGTATGTAAATAATATAAAACTGTATATTTTTCAAAGGTTTTTTAAACTTTGGGGGAATCTTTTGTTAAAATGTTAAAACAATAAAAGCTGGGAGAAAAAAATCTTTCTCTTCTCTAAATTAAAATTAAATTTACAATAGTATTGAAAAATCTTGTTATGCGTGTAAGTAGTATGATGATTATTATAGAATGTTATCAAAAATATGCAGACTCAAATTTGGACACACTTCTGGAAAGTCTAAACCTTGACTTCCTTGCACTCAGACTTTTATGCTATTTCAAGAATGCTTTCATTTCTCAAAGCAACTTTAAAAATGGACCTGGAGTGTTAAGACCAGGCAGTAATCTATATTTCATTCCAGCCACAGCAAATCTCATCCCATCAACACATTATCCATATGAATCAAAAAGAATCACTCAAAAGAAAGGTTCTTGCTTTTTCATTGTTTTTCTTCTGGCCACAAGAACTGAGCCCAAGTCTATGCATACAAGGCATGTGTTTTACTGTGGACCTACAACTCTAGTCCTTTCAAAGGAATAATTTTAGCAGCTGTGAATTTAGGGCCATTAGTATGCCTGTAAGACAGAGAAGGTACTCCCTAAGTAGTTGGTGCCACTCTGTGACCGAATGTAAACTATTCTTGTATATATATTTTTCTATCTGCTTTTTTAAATGAGATTTTGATATTTAAATAATTAAATATGTTCCTTACCCTGCATCTGAGCCATTTCCACAGAGTAAAGGGTCCTTTTGTCCTTCTAACACATAAAAGTGACCTGTTAATATAAAGAGTATATGATTTCATTTGATATCAATCCTATTAACATTAGGAACATATGAGAATTTGACTACATCAGATATTTCAAAAATGTATAACAATAAAATATATGTCCAAAGTGGCTTCGCACCCACAGTGTCAACTGTTTTTAGTTGAAAATTCAAGGGAACTTACCACAGGGCCTCATTAATACCCTTTACAGTTCCTTTCAGCTATCTCCCTCAACAATTGCTGTCTTTGTTGAAACAACTGAATTCTTTTTTGTTGTGACGATATGCTACATTTTATTTAACCATGATTTTTTTAGTCAATGAACATTAGAATTTTTTCCACCTTTCAACTATTATCATTACTGCTCCTATGAACATGGATGTACAAATGATCTTGTCAACTTGATGCTTTCAGATATTCTATTTATAGACCTAGAAGTTCAATTGATGATTATAAAAAAAAAAGCCATGCTTCATTTTTTTGAATAGCCATCATCCTGTTTTCCAAAAAGGCTATACCATTTCATTTTCCTTTTGAGAGCACATAAGGCTTCTAATATCTCTCTATTCTCAATGATACTATTCTTATAATTTTTGGATAATCGTCATTCTACTGGTTGCTATGTGGTACCTGATTGTGGTTTCAAGTTTGCATTTCTAAAGACCACAATGTAAAATAAAACACCATTTCTAAACTTTGAGAACTTTTGTGGTATTAACAGTGTTATTGTATAAAAATATGATTAGCAACATAAAAAAGGAAATATGTTCTATAAACTAATCGTATATTTGATGGAATTTTCTTATCTGATCATCAAGAATTCACCATACATTATGCGGTTTCTTAACTACTATAAAACTATTTAAAAAATTCATTCAGAACTATTAGGATTAACAATAGAGCAATATTTCTTACTGTCATCAGCAATGTAATCCTTCCAGTTAAAGGTGGTCATTGTCACATTAACAAATGTTCCATTTGAATCCGCTGTGCCATTAAAATAGGAAGTGGTGTTAGTTTCAAAAGCCGAATCACTTGGGGGCCATTGCAAACATTTATTCCGCAGGTTGCCCATAAACAGCTGCAGACCAATTAGAGCAAACACGCTCAGACAGAACACGGTCAGGATCATGACATCAGAGAGCTTCTTCACGGACTGAATCAGGGCCCCCACGATGGTCTTTAAACCTGAGAGAGAACCATAGGTAAGCTAAGAAAGACTGCTCCAGGGCCACAATGTCTTCTTATTCTCTTTCCCCACAAACAATTGCTGGGCTCTTAGGACACCAAAGCTTAATGGATGGCCAGATGGTTTGGGAAATGGGTGAAGAGAGATTTTGTTTATGAACAGTGTGCTTTCAGGCAGCTCAGATGAAAGCTTTAAAGTATCAAGGCAGGAAGAAACCTGTGTGTTGTTTAACATGCTTCAACACATAAACAGGCAAAGACAAACTTGCAGCTGTTTTCATTTCAGATTTTGTATTTCATCAGGCTGTATCCCAGCAACTTATTTCTTACACAGACTTCCAAGTAGCAACGATTTACAGGAGGAATTAAATTTAAAATCATAAAAATCTCGTACTATTTGCATGCTATCCAACAAAAATTATCTTTTCCTCTTTAAAGGAGACCCATTTTCAAATTAGGCAAAATCCAAATCAGTAAAGCCAGAGTAGCAAAGTTTTTTCAATATAAAAGAAAAAACTTTATATTAAATCAATGCAAAAGATAGGACACAGAACTAGAATTTTTTTCTTTTTTAATAAAAATCTCATGCAATTTTCTGTTAAACTCAAAGGCTGACTTTATGAATAAGCATTTAACTTCTGAAATTTTAACAACTAAGTTTCATCAAAATGTCACTTGGTATTACTGAATGTGAAAACAAGAATAAAAAGCAAGAAAAAAATAAAAGCAAGTGTGATTTTCACCTTAGTATTACTACAGCTCATTTAAAGTCAGCCTCGGTGTTTAACCTACTTCTCACCTGGAATGACTGAAATGGTTTTCAGTGCTCGGAGAACTCTGAATGTTCTCAATGCTGAGACATTGCCCAGGTCCACAAACTCTGTCACATATCTGTAATAGGGAGTTCACACACAAACACAATAACACACAAGAAAAGTTGATATATAAGGGGTCTACCAGCTTATACCAGTTTCTTCTTACCTGGAATTACAGAAATAGTTTTCAGAGCTCTCAAGACTCTGAAAGTTCGAAGAGCTGAAACATTGCCTAGGCTTACAAATTCTGTTACATACCTGTAGGATTAAATCAGAATTACTGATGGCTTTTGCAACATTTATACTAAAGAATTAAAACTGGGCTTGGCATAAGAGCCCCTTGAGTTTAACAAATGTAATTGTTACAGAGAGCAGAGTACCATATGATGAAACCTACTTTGAAGGAATAAAATCTTGTTGCTTTATTTCAAGGTTATTGTCACTTACTCGGAGAGCCCAGCAAGCTACCGAGAGTATTCGATATGCCAGACACAGTAACAACAAAGTCTCCAATGGAGACGTTACTGGGCCCGCTTGAGCAAATCGACGATCAACGGGAGGGCCTTTACCTTTACCTCGAGCAAACTGTCACTTACATGAACAAGCTTGTTTGCAAATTTAATCAAAGCGCAGTTGGTGATATTAAGTTATAGTTAATAAATAACCTCACTTTGATGTAATTGAAAAATATATGACAAAAAATAATTCCCTTTATTGATCATTCACTAGATGTTTACCTTGAGTATTTATTAAGTATTCTTAACATACATGAAGCATAGATTAAATTTTAAAATATGCCTTTTAAAATAGCATTAAAATATAAAGTGTCTCTACATAATCTAAAAAATTAGTATGCTACTTTAAATGGTTTTACTGAGAAAAGTCTTGGAAGATTTAAATAAAAGAAAAGTACAGGATTATTTCATAGATTAGGTATATAATTAATTTAACTATAAGAAAAACTCTCCATTTAAAGTATTTTACAGCAACCTGGCTTATATTGCATTTTCATTTTTCTAATATTAACAGATTTTTAAAAATACTCACGCCATCACAATGACACTGAAATCCAGCCAATTCCATGGATCACGAAGGAATGTAAAATCTTCTAAGCAAAACCCTCTTGCCAAAATTTTTATAAGTGACTCAAAGGTATAGATCCCAGTGAATGTGTACCTATGAAAAAACATAAAACATTATTATGAATTTAATTGTAACTATTAAATGTTTAACACATAGCAAATACTATACTTTTGTGACAATCACAGTTTTTTTATAACTATTTTTTATTTCTATTTATCAAAGATTATACTTTCTTAATTAATCTTACAAATCTGAATAAGGGGCTAAAATAAGAACTAGTATTTCCCCCCTAAAATGCCTTGTTTAAAATAGGAGACTAATACCCAAGAGTGACCAGGATTAGTACCAGGAGGCCATGACTTGGAGGCCAGCCACACATGCTAGGGGAAAAGGGAGCTCAGATAGAAAAGGGAGCACCAAATAAAGGGTGCTGGGAGGATCCTCCCAGGATGGGAGAAGCATGCTAAAAGAAGACTATAGACCAAACATGATTGCCACTCAATGCCTCTTTTGCAAGCCACAACATCCAAAAGGAAAGAGAGAACAAAAGAGAATGCCCTGCCACAGAGGCAAGATAGAATATGGGGGGATAAGGGGTGGGAGGGATACTGGGACCCGTGGTGGTGGAAAATGGGCACTGGTGGAGGGATGGGTATTTGATCATTGTATAATTGAAACCCAAGCACAAAAATTTGTAAGTCTACAACTGTACCTCATGGTGTTTCACTAATAAAAATAAAAAAATTAAAAAAAGAATTTTAGAATTTTAAACCAAAGTAAGAGGGAGGTGAAAAGCTATTGGTGAATTTACATATTATTGATGCATTTATTTCCTAAGGGAACACAAATATCTGAAGGGAAAAGAAAAGAAATTAACTCTTATTCTTATCCAAGAACAGTCAAAGGCATGTCTAATTTTTTCCCACTTTATGTATTTATGTTTTATGCTCTGAAAAAGACTCAGTCTTCAGTTTTTTAAAAATATTAGAAATTATGGTGCAAGCCATTAATTTCTAGTATTCACTTTTTTAAATATCTAGAAAAATACTTAATAAACAAGAAGAAAATAAAAATGGATAGTTTACAAAAGAAAAAAAGCCTTGTTTAATGATTTAGGTTTTTCAATAATGTTTTGTGTGTCTTATTGATGCAGCAATACTATCTGAACAAAGTAGAACACAAACTACATAAAAAAATTTCTACTAGCCAAATAAAAAAGAATAAACAAACTATTTTCATGTTCTGTTTTTATTAATAGCAAGATGGCCAAAACACTTTGAAATACAACACAGGTGAGGGCTAAGTTAAACACCAAAACTGACTTTAAATTTAGTAATACTACAAAGACTAGCCCAAATCAACTTCACTAGACACAAAGCTACCTCGATAAGCATTTGTAGAGTCAGTATTTTGAGTTCATTTAGTATCCTATTCAAATTTCTTGTTGCTTAGTATATTTTCTAGAGGAACATATCTGTATATATTTTAGAGGAACATATCTAATACAGAATATAGGCTTTCAAACATAGAGTTTTTAAACTGCTCAGTCAAATCATCACTATTAAACTTCACAAAAATTTTAATTTGTTATTCTGCTTTGAATATTTGTGCACACAGCGGTAGGGCATTTGCTTTGCAAGCCACCAGCCTGGCCGAGCTGGGTTCGATTTCTCCACCTCTCTTGAAGAGCTCAGCAAGCTACCAAGAGTATTTTGCCTGCACGGCAAAGCCTGGTAAGCTACCCATGACGTATTTGATATGCCAAACACAGTAACAACAAGTCTCACAATGGAGACGTTACTTGGCCTGCTCGAGGAAATCAATGAACAACGGATAGACAGTGCTACCAAAATTTAGAGATAAACAAATACCTGAACCTCCAAGCTCACATTATGTGCTACTATTAGTTAAAATTAGGTTAAATCATTTGTACTTGGTCATTGTGTAATACTATAAATAGCTTATATAATGTAAAAAAAAACTACTTCACTTAGAAAGAACATTAATTTGTCATAAATAACCTCATTATTATTGAAAAATTAGAAAAAGTTTTATGATAGAGAGATTGTTTTAATTAATGCACTTTTGTCTAGAATGTTAATGCTTTTAAAATAACCAGAGGCATTTTACCCTCAAACTCAAATAGAATATCCTTCGCAATGAAACAAGAAGCAGAATAGTAGCACAGAAAAAATAACAGGGTCTGGAGCACAGTGGGTAGGCCATTTGCCTTGAACAAGGCCAACCTGGATTTGAATCCAGTATCCCATATGGTCCCCGAGCACAGTAGTGATCCCTGAGTGAAGGAACAGGAGTGACCCCTGAGCATCGCCGGGTGTTATCCAAAGACGCAAACGCGCACACACACACACACACACACACACACACACACACACACACACACAAAACCAGTGGCGGATACTCAAATGCAATAAAGGACTAATGTGCCAGTGTAGTTTTTTCAAGAACAAAAAGTCTTTTTCTTTATTAAAATAAGGAACCAAATGCTTTATTTTGATGACAACATGTGTGTCACCATCACCTTCATCTCAAGAAAGAAGTGAGGAATCTGAGATTTTGGTTGTCTGTAGAGACTTAAGTAGATCAGTATCACGTTATTGATAATGCGATAATGCTATTGCTGTTCATGTTCTAATTATAAACTTTCATGTTTTAACCATCTCTCCTAAATCATGTTTTCTTCTTCTTCTTCTTTTTTTTTTTTTCTTTTTTTTTTTTTTTTGCTTTTTGGGTCAGACCCAGCAATGCTCAGGGGTTACTCCTGGTTCTGTACTCAGGAATTACTCTTGGTGCTCAGGAGACCATATGAGATGATGGGAATCGAACCAGGGTTGGCTGCGTGCATGCAAACTCCCTACCTGCTGTGCTATCTCCCCAGCCCCCATGTTTTCTTCTTAAGCTGAATTATTTTTAAGCTCAGTTTTTTTGTAACATCCTCTTAAGTTGTTTATGATTTTTGGTTTGTTTTTAATAAATACATATCCTGTATTTTAATATGCATATAGTGACTAAATAATAAAATTATATATATCACTATCACTATTACTATCATCCCGTTGATCATCGATTTGCTCGAGTGGGCACCAGTAATGTCTCCATTGTGAGACTTGTTGTTACTGTTTTTAGCATATCAAAAACAACTGGGGTGAACTGGGAACCACCCTCAACAGTACTAAGCTATTCACCCCCTTGATCCAGTGTGATGGACTTAAGATGAGGGTGAGATGCTATTTAGAACCTGTGGTGCTGGAGGCCTCCAGGGCTATACCTGGTGATGCTTGGGAACCACCATGGTGACAGCTGTTGGTGATTCAGAGCCTCCAGGGCTATGCTCTGGTGATTCTCGAAGAGGTGTGTGTGTGTGTGTGTGTGTGTGTGTGTGTGTGTGTGGTGGGGGAGTATTGGTTCTCTTTGTTCCCTAAATTATAGTTCTTAATATAACTTAAACACCTAAATAATGCTGTGTTTACTTAAATGTATTTTCTTGATATCACAATATAATATGTAACCCAAATATCTCATATAAATGTCTGTATCTATTTTATGAAAACATAATAATATTAATACTAGAATAAAATTACTTTGTTCATTAGTCAATTGGTCATTGAACTTATCTAAAATGTGCAACTGTGATTGAATCTTAATTTTTATTCATTTAATGTTTTGGTGGGCTGGAGCAATAGCACAGTGGTAGGGCGTTTGCCTTGCACGCGAACGACCTGACAGACCTGGATTCAATTCCTCTGCCCCTCTTGGAGAGCCCAGCAAGCTACTGAGAGTATTTCGCCTGCAGGGCAAAGCCTGGCAAGCTCCCCGTGACGTATTTGATATGCCAAACACAGTAACAACAAGTCTCAAAATGAAGATGTTACTGGGCCCGCTTGAGTAATCAATGAACAACAGCAGGACAGTGATGGTGAATGTTTTAGTAAAACAAGATAGTTTTATTAAAACTTATTTATATCTCGCCCACATGGCAAAGCCTGGCAAGCCACTCGTGACGTATTCGATATTCCAAACACAGTAACAAGTCTCACAATGTTACTGGGCCCGCTCGAGCAAATCGATGAACAATGGAGGACAGTGACAATGATTTAGAAAGATGTGAGGGGAGAGAAAGGAATTAGTGCATTTTCAAGAGAACAGAGGCTTCTCTAGTGTGAAAATAACAAGCAAAGAAACAGAGAGACAAGCAAGGAAATACATGTTCACGAGAGAATACAAGCTTGAAGAGCAAGCCTGAATATTAATTTTTATTGTTTTTGTTTGTTTGTTTGTTTGTTTGTTTTGGGTCACATGGGGCGATGCTCAGGGGTTACTCCTGGCTCTGCACTCAGGAATCACTCCTGGTGGTGCTTGGGGAACTATATGGGATGCTGGGAATTGAACCCAGGTTGACCACATGCCAGGCAAGCTCCCTACCAGCTGTGCTATCACTCTAGCCCCTGAATATTAATTTTTAGATTAAAGTTATTTTAATTTACCAGTTAGTATAGATTATTTATAAGTTTTCTTAGATACTATCGTGAATAATTTTCTGAAAAAATATTTACTTTACCAAAGAAATACTCCCTCAAAGAACTTCCCTTATCTTCTTTCATATCATAGAAATAATGTTTTTTCTTAGAACTCAGTCTGACTTAAAAAAAAAGTGTAAATCCTACATCAGACCATACTGGTAAGAAGTGGAAACCACACATCAGACCATAATGGTAGAGATCACTGGAGATTTTAAGAGTGCATTTCTAATTTAAAAAAGTCATTTCTACTTACTCTACATTCTTTGTCCAGTCTGGAGGGTTACTCAAGGTCATAAATACACAGTTGGTCAAAATAGTGCACATAATAAGCATGCTGAATAAAGTAGATTATTGTTAAGGAAAAAATATAAGTACATATTGTGACCATTTACAAGTGATCCAAAACAACAATACCAATTCACCAATGAAAGTTACCTGCGATATCAGTATTATTATTTTAAACAGATAATAGACACATTAATTTTAAAAAGTTTTGAAGGCTGTCAAATATTCTTAGTTCTCTCTGTCTCTGTCTCTGTCTCTTTCTGTCTCTTTGTCTCTATCTCTTTCTGTGTCTCTCTCTCTCCCTCCCCGCCTCCCCCCACCTTTTGGAGGTGCTGGGAATCAGACCTGAGGCTTCTGCATGTGTTGTAGCAGACAGTCTTCTCCTTCTCTCCAGTCTTTTTCCATTTTATATTACTTTTTGCTAAGTTTAATAGTAACATATTGGGAATTTGTTTTCCAATCAGCGGATACAATGTTTTTTTCTTAGAAGTGCTTAGCCTGACTTAAAAAAGTGGAAATAGTACATCAGACCATAATGGTAAAGAGATTACTAGAGAATTTAAGAGTGCATTTCCATATCAAAAGTCTTTCTTGAAATTTTTTGTATTTTATTTGAAAAATTTTGAAAATATTTTCAAAAGGCCTTCCTTCATTAGACTTACAGTGTAACATAGAGTGTAAAAGTTGCAACGAAATATAAAAAATTTAAAATTTCACTGTCTGACAAACAAGAAATGTAATATAAAAAGTCTGAGAATCTCTAGGCTATGCAAAGAGGCTAGAAATTGAAAATTGTACAGTAATTAGTATTTTCTGGTAGTCTCATATTGATCTAACTTGTTCCTTTGGAATTACAAAAGTAATAAAAAGAAAGATTTATAATTTTTTGCTGATATCTTAATAGCATTTTCTAGGCTTTTATCTCAACTTCTGACTTTTGTAAGTGAATTTAATGTGTCACCTAGTCTCGTGTATCTAGTTCACACCATGATTAAAGAGATAACACCACCTTGAAGCCTCTCTAATAATTTGCTATAATATTTTCTCTTGGGATCTCAATCATGACTTCATTATAAGAATATTATCATTATTTTGAATATGTATTTAATTTTTATATATAATTAGTTTTAACATGAAAATGTAGAATAGAGTTTAAATATATTTCAAAAGTTTACTGCTGCTTTATGACTCATCTGTAGTCAAAATTCTCATAAGTATTTTGTTTCTCATTTAATGCTTACATAGCCGTTTTTGACTCTGTCCTTATAAAATACATAATCTAGAGTACAGCTCCTGAAATACACTTTTAACTATCATTATAAATAACTTAAATTTAATAAAAATTTAAGATATATTACCAACTATATTACCAAAGACACAAGGTGAGAATTTAGCAAAGCTTCTCAAAGAAGAGAGAATGAAGTCACAACATATATTTTAAAGCACAAAAGCTTGAATATTTGCTAATATAAATAATAATACTAACCACAATAAATTTTATTCTTCAACAGTGGCTATGTATGAACTAATTTAGGGCTACAAGAATATAAAAAGGCAGTTGTTCCTTTTATCACTGCATTTCCTTTTATTATCACAATACTTTCACATTCCTTTCAACATTCACTATCAAGACTGCATTTGTAATTTTAGAATCACAAGTCATTTACATAATATCTTATCATAAATATTAGAAAACAAAGGAGAATAAATCAAACAGTAATGAAAACATTAATCTCAAAGGGTGTTTATATATATATAGGTATGTATATTAGTGAATTATATTCTCTGCAAAATCAATAAGAATATAGATTAGACAGTTCATACAAAAAAGGATATGAATGTACCAAAATCTTAATAGCAATTTTTCTAACAGGGTTTAGTGGAGTTAAAATGTACAAGGCAGAGGTGGCACTGAATCGGAAAATTGCCTTCCCTTTATTCAATACTATAAAAGTCTGAAAAAGAAAATATAAGAAAAAATTAGACATATGGTTTATTAAAGTATTTACATACATGAAGAACTTTAGACCTAATTTGTTTAAACTTTTTTGTCTATTTGGCATACTCTACTAATAACAATATTAGATATTTCTTCTCTAAAGTAGCATAAACTCACAACTAAAAATATGAGTCATTATTATCTAATCTGTCTTTAAGATCCCAACTTCCTGATAAAACTGATGAACTTACATAAAATTTTTACAAAGTAAGGTAACATTAGGACTCAAATTCTCTTAACATCTATCTCGATCTCTGGGAACTTTTCTTTGCATACAATAATATTTAAATGATGTTTGTAAAAAATTTTGGCAAATAGTATAACTCCATTGTTTATGAAGGCTATCTTCCTTTTGGTAGTTGACATACTCTAAACTGTGTAAATAGCCTGAACAATCTAATTTTGTCAGGTTCTATCAGCCAATTGGTAATACTGAGAAGGAATAGTGTGATTGAGAATTCAAATGACATATGTCATTTCAAAGGACACTTCACAACTAAATTTCCTATGACTGTAATCAATCAAAGCTAATCCTCAACAAATTAGCTTTAAAGCTAGATTACCCTATAATTACCTACCACCTCTCTCTAGGATCATTTCTTATGCTTTCCCACCAAAGTAACTGTAATCCAGTTAATTCAAACTCCTTGCTGATGTCACTCATAGCTTGTTAGTTCCTTTCCCTGACTACAAAAATGAGTGACATAGAATGCCAGAAGAAGAAAGACATCTAACATAAACCCCCTTTTGTTTAGCCTTGACAATAAGATTTAACCTTCAATGAACCACTTTTAGAAACAGAGATTCTTTGTCCTATTTGCATATTGATATCCACTGGCAAAAAGTCACCATTATTTGGTGCCTGTTCAAGGCCAAATGAATATAATTCTTGGAGGACTCACAAGCATAACTACATTTTTACAATTTTCAGTTCATTATAATATGTAGTCAAAAGGGTGAAAATTCATACATTCTGAGAGCGTCCTTAGCATTCAAAATCACTTTATTCAGCCTGTTCATAAACCACAATACTTTTGCATCACTGCCTATTTGGCTTTATCAGTAAGTCTGAGTGTACACTTTGGGGTGTTGCTTGTAATTATAGTCAAGCAGTAATTTAAATGTAGCATTCACTCTACTAGGTTAAACAATTTTATAAATCATTTGAGTATAAAGGACCCATATCTACATTTTTTCCAATTTTTTTACCATATTTAATAGCCTGGTTTGCAAATAACTACTTGTTTTAATTAAACGTAGGTTTACCTTTAAAATGTTATTGATATTTAAGACATTTATTTTATGTATCCATTCACTTAATAATATGTTTTCCTTATTACCTAAAGCCTATATACCACATGTTTATGTTAACTGACAACATACTCTGTTTGAATAGTTAGAAAGAAATATTTATATTGTGATTATAAAGAGCAGAGGAAACAATTACTCTGTACATCTTTTTTGTATTCAGTAACATAGAGCCAAAGATTATTTAACCAATTATTTTTCATTAACTACACTTCATAACTTTGAATAAGCTAATGAAGAGGGCAAATTGATTGTTCCTTACTGGCAATAAGATTACCCACAATTGGCAATAAACATTGAAAAGACTGTAGTTAAAGTACAAACATATTAAAGAATTTTATGGAATCTGAAGGATTAGATAATATAATATGAGTAAAACAATCTAGATAGCAGTAACATTTAAAAGTTCACAATAATTTTAAGTCCTTTTGTTCATGTTTTGGAGAGGAACTTTCCTGGAAAATCCATTGCAATATGTAGTATTAGGTGTGGATTTTATTTGGAAAATCTCCAAGAGCAAGTGGGCAGGAACGAACTGTTCTTTTCAACATAAATTCCTTTGTTTTTCTTGTAAGATTAGCTCTTATGATACTAACTGTATCATATAAAATGGCATGCCAATGGGCATCTTCCTTGAACTTATAAATTCTGCAACAGAGATAGCCTCAAAGAGAAAAATCCAAGTTTATTTCTGGAGAAAACCACTTGACACAGAGTAAACCTTGAGTTCAAAATACATGAGGGAGCCTGAAAGAAATAATGAGGTGATTAAGCACAAGTCTAGCTTTCATGGCCATGAGTTTGATACCCACTACTATCGGATGTGACACTGATGTGACTCTCTTCTCCAGAAGTACCACAAATAGTGGCACCTATTTAAAAGAAGTAACAAAGAATGGAGATAACATATTAATTTTATGTATACTGGAAGCATTATAAGAATGACATTTTAATTCTGGGGCTCTGATATCTTTGAGGGACATAGAAAAGATAAAAATTACCTGAGAGGAGAATATATAATTGCAGAAGGGAAACTTTTCAGAATCTTGTCACAAAGCAATAATATAACTTCAAAAATATCACTACTGCTAGTAAGCAATGAGTGTTATAGCTAAAAGAGCGTCAATCTATTTGTTGTCCACTCAGGAATTTTCTTGTTTTTTTCCAAATAAATATACAACTTATAGGTTCACAAAATTTTTATTAAAGTAAGATTTAGCTTTATATCTCTAAATAGAACTGCATTGATTAGAAAATTCAATCTCATCAGTCCTGCTTTTCAGACTCAACTAAATCTTTGAGGAGATGCAAGATAAGCTGTTAAAGTTCATGGGTCCACCAGTCTCTGGCTGAAAACTCTGGTGTGTCATCAGGATTGGGATAAGCCAAGTCCTTCCTACCCTGCTAGGTCTTAGGCTGAAAACTCTGGGGCACCATCAGAAGTGGGATGGGCCAAGTCCTTCTCCTGCTAAAGACCTGGCAGCTGCATCCACACTCCACAACTACTGTTATGTCAAAGACTTCACTTCACTGCTTCATGACAAGTCTTTGCAGAGGCCAAACCAACCAAAACTTGCAGGTACACTGATTTCAGGGTGAAAACTCTGGTGTCTTTTCGGAGTGTGGGCAGGCAGACTTCTTCCAGCCATCCTCCTCCACCCTGCTTCCCTGCACCAAATACCCCATACTTCCATAAGTCCCAACAAACACATCTATATCCCATATCCCTATGTCAACTCATCCATTGGCATGTTCTACAGACCCTGGAGGTCATGGAAACCACAAAAATTCCACAATACTAACATCCTAGTATTAGAACACCAAATTAGATAGAAAAGTAATGTAGAAGTCAACTGAACTCAATAAACAAAAATAATAACACAGAAGCCTCAACTAGCAACAAATAGCTTTGTGAAAACTCAGGTAAGGACTTTATGACCCCACGGTGAGATAAAACAATTTTCAAAAATGTTCTTTCACTGAAACTGTTTTTAATAATGCCATTAGACATTTGTTGTGATAAGAAATATAAATTATTTTGCACCTGCAAAGGGACAGGTTTGGGAGGTGATTGGGAAAATGGGGACAATGGTGGAGGGAAAGTCAGACTGTTGGTGGATTGATACTATAATAATTAATATGATTTATTTAGGGCTTAGTGGTTCTGACTTTGGAGCTGTATTGCATGGATTTAAATCCTGAACCTAGTGACCTTGGGCAAGCTACTAATTCACTCTGGAACTTGCTTCGCCAACATGTAATAAAGCTAACAGCACCCACCTTAATCGTTCTTTGAATGTGAAATTAGTTATGAGTGTGAAGACTTTTAGAAGTATAAACACTGGGGCTGAAGAGATAGCACAGCAGGTTGGGCACGGGACATACACACTGCTGACCCAGATTCAATTCCTGGCACCCCATATGGTCCCCAAGCACCATTAGAAGTTATCATTGAGTACAGAGTCAGGAGTAAGCTTTGAGCACTTCTGGGAGTGGCTCCCTAAACCAAAATTAATAAGTAAGATAAATAAAAGTATGCCAAAAATTGTTAACTATTTTTATTAATAATTGTTTTAAAATTATTATCTGGTTAGCCTAAATGCCATTAAAATCATTGTGATAATGCTCATTTTATTAAAGTGGGTATGTGAAATGCATCATTAATTCATGTAGGGTAATAATGTTTTACAGTTTCAAAATGTCTTTCATCTGCATTATTTCATACAAGTAACACAAGCTTCTTATCCTATTTTAAAACGAGAACTTCTATCATTTCCTATCCAAATATCAAAAACTACCTTTTTTTTCATAACTATAGACATGTATGTATTGTGTGTGTGTGTGTGTGTGTGTGTGTGTGTGTGTGTGTGTAATTTGTTATTTCAATGTAACTCCGATCTGTACTCAGGGCTTACTCCTAGCTCTGTCTTCAGGGATCACGCCACATAGTGCTTGGGGGATCAGATTGGCTGCTGGGAATTAAACCCAAGTCAGCATGTGCCCCCTACCCTCTGTACTGACTCTTTAACTCCTGAGACTTCATATTTACAGACACATGCAGACTACATTGAGGAGACTTTCGAGATGTCTCCCAATATGGGTTGTGGCCATTAAATCAAAACCCAAGTTTGGTTTCCAGACTAGAGACAATAAAAAAGTGACATTGTGAGGGAGAATTCTATTTTCTAGTGCAAATTCACATTAACCAACTTGAAAATCTGACATATAATATTTGAATATGTTTTGTTTGCTTGCAATAATATATGATTGTCACTTGGGCTGAAATAGTTGCTATACAATCACCAGTGTATAATTTCCTTTAATCAGATCAATGGGAAAACAAATGACAAGTAAAGCAGTTTTTTTTATTTTCCTGAGGATGGAGTTCAAACATGTCAATGCAATCAAATAATGCAGATTTTAATGACATCTCAGCAATCATTCAGTTTCCTCTCCCCAGTGAAGTGATTGACCTATGGAGTAATAAACTTTCAATTCTAATACTAAAGACCCAACTCCTCAAGAAAATGATGACATTTGTGTTTGCTGTTCTCTTTTTTTCCACATAATTTTATCATTTATTTTTTAATATACCTCTTTCTTGAAAGCATACAATTCCAAGTATACAGTTTATATCTTGATACTGTG